CACCCTGGTCAGAAAGTGGCTAATTTCCGAGATATTCAACACTTTTGGTTTTGGTAAAAAATACCGAATAAACTACAAAAACAGCAATAAATAAAATACTACTGGTTTGATTTAAGTGATTTTAGTTTTAATTTGATCGTCAATACATCAATAAACATTTATTAATACTAAAACAGGCAAAAATATCATTCGTTTTAAAATAGCAATTAAATTAGTATCTTTTATTTTGTGTCACACATTTTTCACTGAATGTTAGTTTCACCTTACACAATTAATAATGTTAATGTATGTATGTATGTATATCATTCTACTAGAAGTCCTTTAGGTCGAGGCAGATAATAAATAATAAAGAATAACTTTTTACGGCTGCCTCGTTGGCCGAGGTGGCGCAAGTGCGACTGCTGGTCAAGAGGTCTCGGGTTCGATTCTGGGGTCGGGCAAAGTATTACTGGGTTTTTAAAAATCTCAGTAGTAGCACGGAGTCTGGAAATGTGCCCGGTGTATGGCAATAGGCTCACCCCCTATTACATGGGACTTATAACATAAATAGTGAAAAGTGGGTGTTACATTCTACAGTGGCATTTAGTGCCGTAATGTGCACCTCTGCCTACCCCTTCGGCGATAAGGCGTGATGTTATATAATAACTTTTTAAAATAATGCGCATAAAGTGATTTAACCTGCAAAAAACTACACAACATTTACATTTAATTAAATATTCGTAACAATAGTTAGTATTAAAATTAAACAAAAACAAGCAATATATAATAATTTCATAAATACACAAAAAATTAAGTCATCATCACATCAACTTGTGGAAATTACAATCGTCAGAATTAATTACTAAATAATTGGTTGAAGGTGCAATGTCAGCTCTACATGCGCACACGCCGCTTACAGAAACAGACAGGGGGGAGATGAGGGGAGAAGGGAGCGCGTGTTAATACGACAGTACGTGTAATAAAACAATAATTACACACAGAAAATAAATACAGCAACATTTCCATCACTAGTGAGGTGGTTTACATTTAATCAAGTACGTAACCTTGCGCGTGCGCATAATGCCAAGTTGAAGGAGGGGGAGTGGGGAGAGCTCTCACAGCTCTCACTGTGTCCAAGACAGACAGATAGATCTTGTTATCTTGTTATAATATTATTGTGTTAGTACATCTGGTAATGTGTCAGATTATATTTCCATCATAATGGTAAACAGTGAATGTAGATTATAACATTATAACTTATGCTTCAGAACTTCTTTTCTCGTAGCCGCTACGCCGTAGCAAGCTCGTAGCACGCGCGGAAAATATTATATAGGTCAGTCTACGTCACGCATGCAAATTATATTAATATTATATTTTGATGAGATGGTGCGGTGTGATGATTGCGTTTCGGATTCTAGTTTTCAGCAACGGTTTCAGTTGTTTATGAATAATAATCATAATATACCAGTGCAGTATTCTAGAACTCTCATAATCACACATAATGTGAAAGTTTCTTTGTTTGGATGTTTGTCCCTCAATCACGCTGAAACTACTGAACGGATTTTGATGAAATTTAGTATACAGGCTTTGGGTATGCGCTGACTTAGGTGATAGGATTTTAATTTCGATTAAATGATCCCATGGAATGAAACAGGAATACACGGACAAGCCGCGGGTAAAAGCTAGTTACGTAAAATAAATGAACACATTAGAACTGTGTGAACGGGATTACTTCACGGTTTGGCAAACTGCTGACGTCACTAGCTCGTGTCTGGGTCCTTAACCTCCAAATGGATTATACGTAATAATATATGTATTTTAGTAAATATACGTATCAGTACACTGCATCTTACTAATGTAAATTAAATCACACAGGACTGGTCATTTAGAGCTTGCGATCGGCTATTGCTTATATTTATTATGCATCATTACTAATACTCTCGCGCGGTTTGACCCGCTCTGCTCGCCTCCTATTCATCGTAGCATGATGTTTTAATTATTTTTTATATAAAGCTCAAGAGTTTGTTTTTTTGCATGCGCCAATCTCTGGAACCGCTTGTCCGATTTGGATAATTCTTTTTGTGTTGGGTAGTGCATTTATTGAGGAAAACTAGACGATATATCACGCTACGACGTAGAGATTAAAGATAAACTAGTTATATTATTATTTTTTCTTCTCTTCTTAAAATATCTTCTGATGCACTTCGTTCCGGAACCAAGACAGTTATTCATGCCCCTGGGACTTAAGTGTTCCTGTGTTTTCGTGGTTGTATCTACTGTAGATCCTGGCTTACAGGAGTTGCAGCGGTTTTGGGAGGTTGTGCCGGGCTTGTCCCATTAAAAAAAACATATAGGTATATAAAAGTCATAAATCGAATCCGTGAGAAACCAGCGATACTACATATTGTAAGTATAAATAGCCTAGTCTAAGTAAGGCAGCATTCACACAATACCACTCTATACACAAGTATAAAACGTATTTTTTTTTTTTTTTTTAAGGGGGGAAAATCATCGAATGACTGCTCCCGCCTGGGTGAGGCGGAAGGGAGTGTCAGACTCTTACTGACTAAAAACCACCCCGTTCCTACTCCTGCACTTCGAGCCGGAGCCCCGGTTACCCGTTAGGTTCTCCGCGACTCCGAATCGGCATCGGCCCTATTGGGCCCCATCTGTGGTGGTCTGATGGCTCAGTGATTCAATATTACATAAAGTTACGCAACGACATTAACTTTAATATTGGAATACCATAATAGACGAATATTTCGGTCAAGCTTACGGCCACGAGCAAATATGACCAACAAGGGAATCTAACCCACGACCTTATACACAAAAGGAGTTATCGTTATTTGGTTATGGCTACTATGGCGTAGTATAAATCTGACACGACATGAGTCAGGTAATTAAATCTATTATTTCTTACTAATATATAAGGCTAAAGAGTTTAATTGTTTGTTTGTTTGAAGGGGCCAATCTCCGATATTACTAATCCGATTTGAATAATTATTTCTATGTTGAATAGCCTATTTATCGAGATAGTCTATTAACTAAAAACTATCACGCTGTAATATATAAGAGCCGAGCAACGCGGGAGTAACTACCTAGTCTCCTATACGTCGCGTCCTTTGTAATGAATACTATTAGATAGTCATAAAAACTAAGTTTGTGTGAAACCCCGAATACATTACTGGTTCGGTTCCGTCAAGGTCTTTATTCTAATGTGGACAGGTTTCAATGTAACGCGTGCGAGGTCGCAACTGTTTAGGGAGTTAGGAAGTGGGCTGGGCGGGAAGGTAGGTCGCAATTTGGATGACTGCACTATTAGGTAACTGGCACTTGTATCAAACAATCTTCCATAAAGCCTTTCTTTTTTTGCCCTCCACGTATGTGTATGTTAATTATACACAGAATAAATGATTCCTAATTAATGATTGTACATAAATTTATGGGCGAACGCCAATTAGTGTCACACGATGTTCTTAAAATTATTATTACTCTTGGCCTAGGCACTCGTGATACTTCTGGTGAAGTGGAAGTGTACTAATACACATTTAATAAGGAATTATTGTATTTCCATACACCTGTCATAATGTCGGAGCCCATGCTGTCACTAAGAAATTATACGATAACGGTTCGAAAAATTCTTTGTCCGGTTAAGAAACTGAACCCGAGAGCTTTTGCTTGACAGTCGCAACTCGCATATATGTGACCACTCAACCGAGTACCGAGTCATACTCATATAACATATTTGTGGGTTTTAAGCGCGCTTTGTTCTTCTAACTGTAAAGTACCGAACTTTCCAGATACTGCATTAAGGGCCGATTTCTCAATCATCAGTTAATTCATTTACACGAAAATGTTGCTTCTACGCATCATCGCTTACCACCAGGCGAGATAGTGGTCAAACATCGACACATTAACTCGTCGAGTACCGGTTTTATAGACACAATTAAAGAACAATAGGTCGCGGTCACCGGTGACCGCTTGGTGTTTGACAGATTAAATAAAAAAAATCGTAACCGTAAAATAAAATTGACATTTGACAGTTATTACTATGGAAGAATGTTCAACAATTGAAAAGGGAATGTTACGCTGGTTTGGGCATGTAGAAAGGATGGGTGAAAGTAGAGTAACGAAAGAAGTATACAGAGCGGATATGAATGGAGCCGTCGGTAGAGGGCGCCCTAGACGGACATATAGTGACCAGATTGGCGATATATTAAAGAAGGGCCAAATTAAAAGTACCCTTAACCGACGAGCATGCATGAAAAGATTGATGACTGTTAATGAAGCGAAAGAGGTATGTAAGAATCGTAGTAATTGGCGTTCTTTAGTCTCTGCGTACCCCCATGGGAGACAAGCGTGAAGTTATGTATGTATGTATGTAATTGTCAAATATTCAAAGTTATTCCTCAGTTAAAATACATCTGGCGTTGGTAAAATCGGCCATTAAGGTTAATTTAAATTTAACAGACATATCATATGACAGTTGTAACATTCCTCACTTACACCCCAAGAAGTCGGTGAACTTCCTCCACAGTCCCTCACTGACGTCGCTCAGTATGCACAATAGTGACACAGTAATAACAACATTTTAATGTTTAGCATTAATTTATATTGAAAGGATACTTTACAATGTCGCTAATAATATTATTGTGGGTTTATTGTCGCGGGTGTGTAGGTAATTGATTTGTCAGTTTGTATTCATGTCATGTCTTATCCTGCTACTTTACATTAGCCGTAGTTATTATAATTTAAAAGTACCTATATATATGACGCTATAATTATAGGTATATCTACATACATAAAGTAAGGGCACGTCAAGGATGAATAGAATAATAGAATAGAATGGAATTTAAAAAAAGAAAGAATATCCCAGTTTGACCCGATGTATGTAAGTGAGTATGTAAGTATGTTTGTATGTTCGTATGATCGTGCGTCATTAACTCGCGATTTACTAAATCGATTTTTATGCGGTTTTCAGAAAAGTGTTTGTTACACTTAGTAGAAGGTTTTAATATATTAATTAACTGACTTCCAAAAAAGAGGGCGTTGAAGTCAGTTTTATCAAACGTAGTCTATAAAAGATAATTATATAAATTAAACTGATGCATCTAGAGACAGTAGCAACGACAACGACTAGTGTATCAGTTCGGTCGGCTACCTGTGCAGTGCACGGCTTGCTTGCACGGGGTATAAGACAGGCAGAGTGCAATACAATCGCGAGTGCTTTCCCAAATTCAGAAGCTCGCGGCCGTGACATTGAACGCAGTAGCATGCCACACGCTGCCGGCTGACCGTCCGCTGTACTGGACTACACTGCATTACTAGGTGCTGCGGAGTGGTGGCCGAGTGTCGTGTCCAATCAGCGGACACTTTCATTGAAATTATCAACTTTATACACACGACGTGAGTAAAGTTGCAGCTTTATTGTGGGACTCTCGGGCGCCCCATGATCTTGGTATTCTGAATCATGTTCACCATAATAGTTGGAATATTTCCATCCTAATTTTGTCAGTCAATGTCAAGTCGAACTTAATTTAAGTGAAGCAGTGTGTGGCATTGATGTAGTTGTGGTAACAGCCGCGGCTCGTGGTCGGCCTGCAGTGTCCCGCTCGCGACGCGCCCAGCTTCACGCACAGCTTGCACTGCTGACTACTGAGAGATGACGCGCAGGGTGCTGTCAGCGCTGCTGCTGCTGCTGGCGACGTCGGCGCCGGCATTAGCTAGAGATATTACCGGTATGTTACATTGCATATTTTCTTTAATATCAGAACTGTGAAATTTTTACATTGTTTTGTATATTTATTAACTTTCAGTTTATAAATGAAAGTACCGGCTTTTCAAAGCTTGTATACTACCTGAATCTAATTCTGATGATAAAATTTACTATAAAATACACGATGTTGTTCATTATTGTGACTTTAGATCTTCCGGAGTTGTTACTTAATGTTTAATTATGATACCTATTACCCCAGTAGACAAGACAACGTTTAATATTATTATTGCATTGTACCCTCCCGTATTATTATTATTGTCTGTAACATACCAATTGTGCCCTACCCTGTACCCGGCGTCACGTTGTACGTTGCTATTATTACTAGGAAACAAGTTCATTGTCACGTGTTCACCACCATAACACCACTGAAGAACTATATAGTACCTACAGGTTTTGTGTTACTCGGAACTTGAACCCGGCACTGTGCGGTCCTCGTCCTTAACATTAACGGTGGTATTATCGAATTTCGATACAATTCTGCAGTATTACATAAATGGCCGCCCACTACTGGGGGCAAGGTTGAGTGCTTGAGACCCCCGTGTTTGGTCTCGTATTTACCATAATATTATGGTAAGATTAGACAATGTATCTACGCAATTCTATAGTATAGGTTGGTAATGATTTAGTTTGTTTATTTAATATTTGTGTTTATTTCACCGGTACACTTTGTACCTACGTTTGTGACATTTTGGAAACAAATTACTTAGATTTTTAGCTTTTTATTAAATTACTTTATCTTTTTCGCATTTTCCTGTGTCGTAGATACATTCACAATCACATAATTTGAAATAAATAAATATCAAGCTTAGTTCCAGCAACTTACAACTTAATTTTACGCAACTGACAACGTGGTCAACGTGGTGTAGTTACGGGGTTCGGATGCCATTCGTAGAGGGAGCCACTGTGTCATGCGCCTACGTCTACAGCGGGATCAATATTATTACATAAGCATTGAGCAATCCTAACGCAGGCTAACTGTTTACATGTTTCCTTGTACCACCAGCAAGCCAGTGGTTACGTGTTAGGTACACGGTGCACCAGTCCTGCCATAATTATACTCATTGCACCGACTGAGCCCTTTTCATCTGATTATTTAATTTAAGACAATTATCATTTTTGCCTAGACACCTATTTTCGTCCGTCATACTGTCAGTAAATATGAATTTAGATCTTAAAATTTGTAATTGTAGGTTTGAAATCGCACATCCGTCTTGAGCGATTAATGGTCATTCCTTCTCCGTGTGAGAAGAGACCTTTAGAGGCTGATGATTATGTTCATGAATATGATGATCACTATTACTCTTCAATAAACATTAGGGTACGTCCACATCTGGCGAATGCTCCGCGAATGAATCGCTAAATGTGGACGCACCCTTACATTAATAAATATCTTATTTATCCTGAAGGTACGAACAGACTACGACACTATACACTCAGTGTATAAATCGAATGTCTCTCTATGAACACGAGTGTCTGTAATTGGAAAACTTATTGTGACACGATGATTAGTGTCGCATCAGCTGCCGGCTTACGATCCGTATAAGTGTGAACAGTACAGTCATGAATGTCTGACATTTATATAACAATTAGTGTCGTAGTCTATTCGAACCTTAATATTTCTGACTCCCACTCGAGAGCTATCAGGTAATTTAGAAGGCTAAATATAGATAATAGAAACGTGTATTCTAATCAGAAATAAAATTAATGTGGCTATCTAAAGGTTTATTGATATATTTAAATAATTACCCGATACTTTACATACAGATTTATAATCAATTAAAAAAAAACAAAATGCCTACTGCATAAATAATATTTATCTAAAGGAATCTCATCAAGTTCAGTCCTCGAACATGTTATATTATTATTTCTGCATTAATTTCGATCTAGCCTAGTTAGAATAATTTAACATGCCTACTATATATATCTAATAGGTACTTGGCATAATTTACATAAATTACTATTTATACATAATGTATGTAGAAAACTGTTCCGTTGTTTGTGACCGTCTTGTGACTGAGTCAGTCAATAAAAGCTGGGAATATTTTAGTCATGCGATATACAACCTTAATGGCAACAAATGAACGTATGTTTTTATGATAACTATCGTGATACATACTGAACTAACTGGCGATGTCGCGGAGCCTGCTGACTTCGCCGCCACGGCGCAATCTGCTCATGAGGAGTCCCTTTGTGACTCGAAATTAGTACAGCTTTTCTCAGTATATTTACGTGAGTAACTCGTTATTTTTAGTTAGTGAAATGATTTTTTTGATTTGGTCTGAGAACCAAGTATCATAATTTTGTGATTTATCATGGCACAGTTTCGAACATAAGTTCCCCACATAAAAACACTAAACCTGTATTTCACGTTCAAATAAACAAAAATAGAATCGCATTAACATAGAACTTTCTGAATTTTGAATCCACAAACAAATATAATATGTTGAATTGTTGAGATATTAATTTGATATTAATTAGTTTAATATATGCGAAAGAATGCAACATCTGGGTGTAATAGCGAGCAACACGCGGTGTAGTTGCGTTAGCGCCGGTCCCGGTAAAATAAGGCTGAGTGTACACTGGAACAATACTCTATAACCATTTCTGTACACATCATAAATGTCATAGAAAGAATAAACAGACTTGCCAATCAGTGCCAAACTAGTTGGCAAGTTTACATACATTGTGTGATGGTCTAGAAGAGCGAATCGCAAGGCAATGTCAGCATTACATCACAGGGTGTATCGAATCTATTATGAATGAATACGAGGCACATCTTAATGAGTGTGTGTTTGTTTGTATGCGCTCGGCTGTACAGCGTGGAATCATAGATAATTCGACGTCTGGCATTGACCCGGTTCCACCAGGTTTGAGCAACACCCCACAACTAGACATTCCCTGCCATCGCACGAGAGCTCAGATGTTACACACTACTAAAATTCTGTAACAAATTGTTCCAGAAGTTTCTATAGCAATCTGGTGTAAAGAACTCAAAAGTTATTCGAATTCTTTAGTTCGAGGCAAATACCTATAAAGTACAATGACGTATCCTGTGCAAAAGTTATTAGAAGAATACTTGACAACCATGAGATCACTACAAGTATTATAATAATATGTACGTCATACATACTTTAAAATTTACATAGATAATTACACGAAATTCGTCCCAGAATGTATTAGTACATTTCATTTTTTTTATGGCATAAGCCGGTGAACGAGCAGACGGATCACCTGATGGTAAGCAATCGGCGTCGTCCATGGACACCTGGAACACCAGAGGCGTTACAAGTGCGTTACCGGCCTTTTGAGGATTAGGAGTTTGAGGATCGTTGGGGATTCATCGATTGGGGAGATTGGGGAAGCGGAGGGTACTTGGGCCTCCGGTAACCTCACTCACACGACGAAACACAACGCAAGCGTTGTTTCACGTCGGTTTTCTGTGAGGCCGTGGTATCACTCCGGTCGAGCCGGCCCATTCGTGCCGAAGCATGGCTCTCCCACACTTTGCATACATTATAATGTATGCAATGCACATGCACAGTACACGTGCGTAGTTCTCAGTCCATCCATGACATGCACTAACAAAATGAAATAGATTAAGTCACAAAACCTGGAACTCTGAAGAAAAGACTACTATGTAATAAATGACCAAATAATTGCTAAATATTATAGATGTCGTAGGATAATTTGATACTTCGAATCTTCGCGGAAATCCTAGGGGTTTTGCGAAAACGCGGATAATTAGACATAGGCGAAAAATTATCAAATCTTACTGGACAAAGTCAGGATTTTTGTGAAAATACTCGTTACTATAGTAAGATTTGATGTGCTCAACAGTGATTGGCTACAATTTTGCTGGCTGACTTCTAATTGGTTCCTAGTTTGCCGATGATTAACTTCAAGTATTGTATCATAGAGTTATGAAGGTTAAGAATAGGTGAGAAAGAAAAATCACTAAATTGATTTTTATAAACCTTTTATTGAAAATTTTAGTATGTATGTTGTTTTCTACAGACAATAGAAGATCTCAGTCGTAGTAAAAAAAATGATCCAATTTTAGGGAGTAATCCATAAATTGGATGAAACTGGTCGTTTAAGAAGACGAAAAACCATTTAAGACGTCAACCAATCAGAGACGATCTCTTATTGAACGCGCTGACCGACCAATCAGCGTTCTTATTTCATAACAGCCAGCGTTTCGTTTCGCAATCTTACTATAGTAATGAGTATTTTCGCAAAAATCCTGACTTTGTCCAGTAAGATTTGAAAATTTTTCGCCTATGTCTAATTATCCGCGTTTTCGCAAAACCCCTAGGATTTCCGCGAAGATTCGAAGTATCAAATTATTCTACGACATAGATAAATATTGACTGTGGTGCCATCTACCACATCTTAAACGTTTTGTTACCTATCTCCGTTAACATGATCATAATACAAACAGGAAACCATATTCATTCAGTAAGTATTACTTTACACCGCGGAAACAGATAATTATATCCACTCACTTATTAATTTAATGCACATGACGGTGTTTACTTACTCGTAAGATATGGTAAAATTATTTCTAGAATAAATAAACAGTAAAATGTTACATAGGCAGTGCGGCGTCGAACTGTCAGCTGATCGCAATCTCAGTGGCCGGCCGCTCACCGCACCCCGCACTCTCCTACATATTTTGTAAATAAGCAAAATGTTAATATGAGCAACATGGCATGATCAACGCGTACCTTTATTTTTAATGAATCATCTGTTTTATTTGCGGAACTTGAACTGCATTGCTGCATATGTAATACTGCACATATTGCATTGATCTTATTTACTGTTGAACAAAGAAAATTGAAATACTATCGTGTATAATGTATATACAGGATGCGGGCCGGTTGTGTGTGCAGTTGACACTTTCTAACATGGCAGATTGTTTTTCAACTTATAAAATCGCAATTAAACTAACGCGAGCCATAATTAAATGTGTTATCCTAATCACTGAAATCTTGGATTGCTTTTAATGACTGTCCTTGATGGGATTTATGACATCCGTAATGTCTCCGAGGTATGAAGCAATCTGACCGTCCGCTGCAAGATGTGACAGTGCGATGGTGATAGTCTGTTCAACTTTGCCATGGACACCGGTAATGTGTGTGTGTGTGTGTGTGTGTGTGTGTGTAAATACATAAGTTACAAACTGCATGATTGGTGCAGTGACTACAGTAGAACGTGTTCAAATTCACCGAACAATATTGTACATGTACTTTTGTACATAAGGAAATGTCGGGGTTGATGTATTTGTGTTCATAATACATGACCTACGACATTCTTGCGAGGGACTACATTATTATGTATGTAGAAGTTAAATCAGGTTTGTGATGTTACTGTACAGATGCGGAATACGCTCGGTTCCCGCGGCTGTACCACCTGGACGACTACAGCTCGTGTCTGGCGCGGGAGGGGGGGCTCTACTGCCTCGGCTCCTTCCACCTCGCACCGCTCGCAGACAACACGCTCTACTCCATGCTTGAGGTGAAACCACACAGTCAGCTTCATATTCAGCTTTTCGAACTCAATCACTGCTGGCCAAACTGTTAACAACATTTTTGGATTTTCTTTTTTGTATAAGCCAGTAAACGAGCCTACCACCTGATGGTAAGCAATCGGCGTCGTCCATAGACACCTGGAACATCAGAGACGTTACAAGTGTGTTACCGGCTTTTTGGGAATAGGGAATTTCAGGATTGTGGGGGATTCAGGGATTGGGGAGACGGGCTAATTGGGACTCCGGTAACCTAACTCACACGACGAAACACAGCGCAAGCGTTGTTTCACGTCGGTTTTCTACTCGGCCGTGGTATCATGCTGGTCCGGCTCATAACAAGTGAAACAAGTGAAACAAGTGAAACAACAAGTGAAACAAGTGAATTTATTTCTGCAAATAGGCTACAAGGCAGCACTTTTACACGTCAATTTTATCAAGCGAACGATGAGGTCGACATTTCCTAACTGACTACTCTGAGAAGAAATGCCGAAACAAACTCAGAGGTCTGTCTCTTTTAAAGTCCAGACAAATATGTATAAAAAGATTATGTGTGAGAACCGTGCAAGTTCTTTCTGTAGTGGCCTTTTGAGGAAAGAACCACAACAGCGTGAGCGGACCCGTTCTGAAAGCAGTACGCATGTGTCGGTTTACAGTCAGCTCAATTAACAGATGAGGCTGAGTGATTCGACGAACAATACCAACCTAAAGAACATTTGCGTGGGTCGCACAAATACTCAAACTGTCAGAGTATAAGTAAGAAATAAGAAAAGAAATGGCGAGGCAAAGTCTCGCACGGTCCTAGCACTAACAATTGTAAAAAATAGAGATAAATGTCAAGTTTAAAAAAATATAAATTTTTCAAATGAAAAACAATATCACATTATGCTAATAATGTCAAATTGCATATAAAAAGAAATGTAACTATATGTTACAAACATGTCAACATGACCTGTGTGGACGTTACAGCGGCTTATTCCCAAGCCAGACTATCATCTAGGTAGTCTTTTATTTTATAAAAAGCTTTACTATAAAGCTTATCTTTAATGACATTTTTAAATTTATTTAGACTCAAATTTTGGATATGGCTGGGAATTTTATTGTAAAAGCGTATACTCTGACGTGTCGAAGCATGGCTCTCCCACACTTAAACGATTTATTGAATGTTTACCCTAATTGATGAGTCCTTACCAACTTTATTATAAACTGAATAAATTATATTCGGTCAATTACTTGTCTGATAAACATTTATTTACTGTAAAATAAATATAGTGACCATAATAGCGACTTTTATGCTCATTACAAATTGTAGTTTGTGTACAGAATTACGTACTTTTTTGTTTTACATTCAGTTCGGGAGTTTTGCCACACGTAGTTTGTAATGTAGTAACTACTAACCAGCCTTTACTAACGAACCTATTTGGGTACAGGAGTACTCGAGGGAGCCGCACCACTTCAACCGCACGCAGCTCCACCGCGGGTACTGCGTGAGCTCGCGGTGCGGCGCGCTGGGCGAGCGCAACGTGTCGCTGCGGTTCGAGCGCTGCGCGGCGCAGTGGGCGCGGCGGCTGGGCCTGCGGGCCTCGCTGGCGCGCCTGCACTACTGCCGCTCGCACGCGCAACACGTGGCACGCGCGCGCAGCCCCGACCCGCTCGACATCCCGCAGCGACTGTTCCTCTACGTGCTCGCCGCCCTCCTGGCGCTCAATCTCCTCGGCACCACGTACGATGTTGTTACCGACAACCCTAAAAGTAAAACATCGCATACTTCTTATGAACCTTAATGAAGAATTTGGTCTCATTCCAAATTCACGTAATCTGTTTGTCGTTACAGAGAACTGGCTGAGCAGCTGGTCGATGCGGTCCAACTGGCGCCGCCTCACCGCTACACACGAGGACGGAGACCCACGACTCTCCTCCCTTACACCCGTGCAGGGACTCAGGTACCCATCGCATCTGTAACTTAGTAACATCCTTAGGGAATGATGTAGTAAGTAGTAATATTGCAATACGTGACACACTATAAACGGGCATTATAAACGGAGGTGCTTATTCAGTTTGCACACACCACCTTAACAGGTACTGCACGGTGGTAACTATGTTAGAAACGAAAGAGCGCCGACATTGATTCACATCTGACAGTAGATGCTATTCATTCCAGAGTGTTGCTGATGGTACTGACGATGGCGACACACAGCGCCTGCATCCAGGTCATGCTGTACGTCTACAACCCGAGGTGGATCGAGCAGGTAACCGTTCAAACCACCACTTGCCTTGAACTTTTTTATTTATTTATTAAAGCTTCAAGCTTTCCGCAACTATTTTTTCCCAGTCTGACCTTTGGGTGATGCAAAGAAGAGTTAAATAAACTTTTTTTTCTATTTCTTTGTTTGTGTTATGATAAAGAAATGTTTATCGCATGGCATTGTTCCCAGATATCACGTCACCCGATCCTGATGCTGTTTCTGAATGGTACCTCCGTGGTGCAGATATTCGTGATGCTGTCCAACTTCCTGCTCGGCTACAACCTGCTCCTCTATGTCAAGGACCACAAGCCCTCCTTTAGCTTGCTGCCGTACATCATCATTAAGAGGATAGCCAGGTAAAGGCCGTTGGTCACGCGACGATCACTCGAGCGACGAAGTTTTAATATAGAAATTTTGTATTAGCTGAATGTTAAAATATTTGTACAAGCAAGCAGCTGTCGGCAGGATCTCCCCGGTGTACCTGCTGGTGGTGGGGTACGCGGCGACGTGGTGGCCGCGTAGTGGCGCCGGCCCGCTGTGGGTCGCCTTCACTGGAGCCGAGAGCGCCGTCTGCCGCCGCAAGTTCTGGACACACGTGCTCTTCATCAACAACCTCGTGGACCCTAACGACATCTGTCTCGTGCAGACCTGGTGGGTGACTCATACATAAGACCTGACTGGTGTGTCGCAATGAAGTGTACATGACGTGGCGTGCGCAGGTTCCCGGCGGTGGACACACAGCTGCACGTGGTGTCGGCGGCGCTGTGCGTGTGGCTGGCGCGGCGGCGGGCGCGCGCCGTGCGCCTGCTGGCGCTGCTGGCGGCCGCCGCCTGCGCGCTGCCGGGGGACTCGCTTACATCTTCCGCTGGGAGTCCATCGTGTACTACGCCTACCCGAAGTACGTTGCTGAATTTCTTCCCATGTAGATGTAAAAAATGTCTTAATTAAAATAAGGCAATAAGCTCAAGAACTGCATTTGATTGGTGTGTTCTTGTAAATACTGTGACGTAACAACCGCTTTGTATTCCAGAAACCTGAACACAATGTACAAGGACATACCGTCATTCTCCTGGCTGTACCAGGCTCCGTGGGGCAGCCTCGCCGCCTGCCTCATTGGACTGCTGCTGGCGTTTGTCCACTTTGAAATACAGGAGTCAGGAGTGAAGGTGACTTCTTTGAAGGTGAGTGAATATTGTTGTAAAACAGAATTATAAAATACTTTGTAAGTGCTATTTAAGTGTCAGGCTATGCAATCAATCAATTTAATTTTGTATGAAATTGCTATGCCTATTTAAGACTTTTCGTGAAATAGATAAGTTGCATGTGTTCTGTGTGTGCAGTGGGCGCATGGTTGCGCAGACTATACAGTGCAAGCCCGGTGCTGATAGTGTCGTGGATCCTGGCCGGGAACTGGCTGCGCGGGTACAGCGAGCCGTGGTTCACGGCCCTGTACGTGGCGCTCGAGCGGCCCGTGCTCAGCTTGCTCGCCGCCGGCATGCTGCTCGGCATGATCAACGGGTTTGAAGGTGAGTTATGTCAAGTTATACCTCAATTATTAGCTTTACTGAATGATTATAGATCGCTTGATTAATTAAAAAATAGCGAGCCATAGATAAAACCACGGAGATCGTGATGGTGCAATGTTGTAACTGTATCGATGTGGGCAGGCGGGCTGAAGCACGTGCTGGCGTGGCGCGGCTGGCACGCGATGGGGCGCATGTCGCTGTCCGTGCTGATGGTGCACTGGTGCATCAACGTCAACATCGCCGCCTCCCGCCTGCAGCCCACCACCGCCTCGCTGCTCAGCGTGGTGAGTCACCACAACTGTACTAACATGTATCAAGTCTAATCATCTAAAATTGCTTTAAACGGTAATAAAAATTTATTCCAGTCGGTTGGTGAAGCTAATTTGAGAATGTAGATTTCTGTGGAGAAAAATATTTTTTTACCAATTGAAATTTTAAGGACACTTTAGTCATTGCAGATATTTCCCGAGTATGTAACTTGACAGCGTCTTCCTCGGCAGGTGGTGGACTCGGTGGCGACGAGCTTCTGTTCGTACATGGTGGCAGTGCCACTTACCATCATGGTGGAGATGCCGGTGCAGAGGGTAGTGACGTCACTAATCGTCAATAGAGTGACCAAACAGTCGTAGCACACGAGCTCATGTAGGAAACTAGATTTTATAAAATTGTGCAATATTTATGGGCGAGTGCAATCGGTAAGCTGTGATATGTACCGCCTTACATTATCGTCATAATTTGTCTAGCGAGCTGAGTGGCCAGTGCGATATATTCAGCTATTCGATCGTTTAAACGTCAACTCCAATTTGTAGGAAATTACAACGGCCGCGACTGTTAACGTTAAAGATCTTCGCACCTACGGAGCAAGGCTCCGGCACGGCTCCAACCGAGCGAACTTTAAATCTTATGTTTGTATGGACATATTTTGTAACGTCAATATATAAAAGCTGTAAGCACGCCGACCGCGCGCTTACAACCTTTATGTATGGTTTCCAAAAAAATGCCGAAGGAGCCGTGCTTGTTAGGTGTGCGATGACCTCAACTCAAACAACGTTATGACGTTCAGCGCTCTGATTGGCCAGCTCCCAGTTAACCAACCAATCAAAGAGCTAAACGTGGTAACGTTTCGATAACTCACACTTAGCACTCTGATGTTTGAGTGACAATGAAATCCCAGGACTGTGTCACAGTACAATCTGTATGTAGATAATATTGGGAACTGTGCAAGGAATATGTCTGTGTAGGGTGGGAAGGAACCATGACCATGACTCGAACCGGTCCCTGATTTAAATATTATTGTTATGTGATTATTGCACTAGTGCAGTACTGACTGCCTGTAGTTACACATATATTTGTGTCAGTAGACACAGATGCCACTGTTTGTTGGCGACTGATATATCTAATATCGTATCGATACAGTTCATACAACCAGCCAACCAGGGTTCGTATATGTCGCAGCTCAATGCCTTATTTACTGCCGATTAACAATCTTGCCACTAAGTATAGGAAGAAAACAGGATTAACTATGTTTTATGGCTTTCTCACTTAATTGTTTCAAGGTAACTCAACTGGTTTCAAGTTAAGCTTGGAGCTCATAGTTATGACATTTACGGGAGTAAGCCATGAAAGATTGAGAAGAAGAGATCAGAGTTATGAAGACGCAGGAAAGATGATCCATCTTTAATCCTAATTAAGATAATACCCTGTTAAAATATAGCTAACTAACCTACGTCAACATAATTACTATTACGACTTGGACACAAACATATGTTCGACTTGTTATTGTATTTACTCAGCTGTTTGAATTTGTATTGTATTTGTGGGTAATTGTAAGCTGCGACATAATTATTATGATGGTGGAACTGTGACGGTAGTGAACTAGTGATAGCTTTTAGATTTATTATAGGTATAAGTATAATATAAGTCTGTTATTTAGGGAATTATTGTATGGAAATAAAGATTACATTGATCTTGTATTGCTTTTTTATTATAAACTGTGTACAAGTAATGGGTCGCCGCGCCGACCAGCTCGACCGGAGTGATACCACGACCTCACAGAGAACCGACGTGAAACAACGTTAACATAGGGTTTCGCAGTGTGAGTGAGGTTACGACCAATACTGATAAATAGTGGAACACTTAAGACTTGAAACCTTTATTATTTATTAATCAATTACCTTTTTTGGGGGAGGTAAATAATCCAATGTCTTCTCCCGCTTTCAGACTTAGAGTGTCAGACTCTTCCTGACTAAAGCACCACCCCGTTCCTACTCTTTTTTAAGGGGAAAATCATCCAATGACTTCTCCCGCCCGGGTGTCAATATGGTACAAGTGTCAATACATTACTCTACTTACTGCCAATGATCATACACCTGTACTAATATTATATACAGTAGAACTTAACCTATTAGTTATATATTGTTTGCCGACGATGACATCGGTCACATCTGTATGTTTATTTATTTTTTGGTTGCATCGAACACATAAAAAGACGAAATGCTTATAGAGACATGCGGCGTGTGATAAACACCTTGCTGCTAGTTGTGGTAGTTGTACTTAGTACAGGTAATATGGGGTAAGCAGACTGCACATATGTTATGTAACACAATATTCCTTTTATAAAGGTAAACTACGTTTCAAAAACCGACTTCCACCTGCTATTTTCTTAAAGTTTCACTAAACTTTTCTGGACACAGCATCAGAATCGGTTCAGACAATCGGGTGATAATCGCGCACATACCTACATACATGCAAACAAGTTAAACTGAGAACCTCTCTCTTTTTTGAAGTCGGTTAAAAATATATCACTCATTGGTATTGACATAAATAATGCGTAATTAAGTATTATATTATTATTGTAGTTGAAAACAACACACAGGACTGTACGTCACTCGATGAGGTGTAGACAATACCCTGCTTGCATAGGACCCCCGGTGTTGTCCTCGGTGTGTGCGCAGCTGCAGCGCGCCGTATATATATATACTGCAGCCCCAGCAGCGTCAGGCACAGCTCGCCATCACCACCGCCACCATGAGGACCGCTGCACTGATACTGGTAAGTACTTACTCGTATATTTTTCTGAACTCTACACTTGCACTGGGTCTTCGTGGGTTCTTTTACAACACATAAAATGGAAAATATGATTACATAAATTTTTGTCTATCTGTCTCTCTGTGTGTCTGTATGTTCACGCATCACGCAAAAACAAACGGTTCGATTACGATGTAACTTGGTAGAATTGGACTTTAATATCCTCGACACAGCACAGGGTATTTTTTATTCCGAAAAAGTGTATACGTACACAACGCACACAACGTACACTGAATGCTGAGTAGGTACTCTGCAAAGGGTTCGTACTGTGTTTGTATCGAGCAATCTACCAAAGAATGCAACAAGGTGTAACCCGAGATAAGCTCAATCGAAGCTGGAAGTACACATAGTTTTTTTTTTGTATGGCATAAGCCGGTAAACGAGCAGACGGATCACCTGATGATAAGCAATCGGCATCGCCCATGGACACCTGGAACCGGTACCAGTCTTTTGGGGATTAGGAGTTCGAAGATCGTTGAGGATTCAAGGATTGGGAAGATTGGGGAAGGGGAGGGTAATTGGGCCTCCGATAACCTCACTTACACGACGAAACACGACGACGTCAAACGACGCAAGCGTTGCTTCACGTCGGTTTTCTGTGAGGCCGTGGTATCACTCCGGTCGAGCCGAACCATTCGTGCCGAAGCGTGGCTCTCAGTCACTTAAAACACTTAAAAGTTACAAATATAATAATTGTTTATTTTGTAAAGTTAATAAATAATATTTACATGCGTATTGATTTCAGGTAATCGCCTGCGCTGGATACATAACAGGATTCACTATTTCTAAACCTGATGTGGATGGGGGTTTAGTAAAAATTAAAGATGGTCTAACTGACATGTTACCTAAAATAGACCTAGGAACCGCCACTGCACCAGCCCCGGCTCCCACCAACTCTACTACAAATACTACTGCGCCAGCACCGGCACCTGCCATCAACAATACGACGCTACCAGTGAGCGCGGTGCCAGCGCCCTCCGGCAACCTGACAGATTCTGTGGCCAACTTGACCAACAGCACCGATACGGCAGCGGTGCCGATAAGCGCGGTGCCAGCGCCCTCCGGCAACCTGACTGAAGCCGTGACCAACTTGACCAACAGCACCGACACGGCAGCGGTGCCGATAAGCGCGGTGCCAGCGCCCTCCGGCAACCTGACTGAAGCCGTGACCAACTTGACCAACAGCACTGACACGGCAGCGGTGCCGATAAGCGCGGTGCCAGCGCCCTCCGGCAACCTGACTGAAGCCGTGACCAACTTGACCAACAGCACTGACACGGCAGCGGTGCCGATAAGCGTGGTGCCAGCACCCTCCGGCAACCTGACTGAAGCCGTGACCAACCTGGCCGGCAACGACACGGCGGCAGCACCCGCGCCCTAGTGCCGAGAGCGGTAAGCTCGACACTATAACGTGTTGGTTCAGAGCTGTGCACAAATAAACTCTCTGTGTATATTGGAATGTTTCATTTCTAACTTTTTATTCAAACAAAAGACCGACTTTTCTGCGGCATACATAATTGGGTACTTGCCAGCTTGTCAAATCAGTACAATACTTTCTCGAACTGTGTGTGAATTTTGTACGAGATTGAGTATTGTGATGTCACGTTTTTAAGCGTCAAAAGCGGCCACGATAATCTAAGTATCGAGCATCTGAAACATGCGGGTCGTCATTTGCCTAGGGTGTTGGCAATGTTATACTCCTTTTGTATGGGACATTCATTTATGCCAAAGCAAATGATGAAGACTGTAGTGGTGCCAATTGTCAAAAATAAAACCGGGGACATTAGTGATAAGAATAATTACAGACCGGTTTCATTGGCTACTGTTATCTCGAAGGTGCTTGACGGTTTGCTTGACACTCAGCTGGACAATTTCATCCATTTACACGACAATCAGTTTGGTTTCAAATCCGGTCTGTCCACGGAGGCTGCGATACTGTGTCTAAAGCAAACTGTGAAGTATTATACTGATAGAAGTACCCTGTCTTTGCCTGCTTTCTGGATCTATCGAAGGCATTCGATCTGGTATCATATGATCTGCTGTGGCATAAAATGCAGCAGGTTTCAGTGCCGGACGGAATTATTCGGATTTTTCGGTACTGGTATAACAACCAAGTTAATGTTGTTCGGTGGTCGGGGCGTACTCGGCTCCGTACAGGTTGGAGTGTGGCGTTAGGCAGGGAGGACTGACCTCTCCGAGCTCTTTAACCTGTATGTGAATGCGCTGATAGAGGAGCTCAGCAGAACGCATGTAGGTTGTCATGTCGGAGGGGTGTGCATAAACAATATCAGCTATGCTGACGATATGGTGCTGCTGAGCGCCTCTGTTTGCGGGTTGTCGAGGATGATTGGCATTTGTCAGCAGTATGCTGAAAAGCATGTTTAGTTTACAACACGAAGAAAAGCGAGTGCATGGTCTTTCGGGCCAAGAAGAGATGTCCGGCTCCGATACCAAAAATAATTCTAAATGGACACCCTCTCAAGAGAGTAGATACTTTTAAATATCTTGGACATATTCTGACCTCAGACCTGGAAGATGATGCTGATATTGAGCGGGAGCGTAGGGCGCTGTCTGTTCGTGCGAATATGATAGCCCGTAGATTTGCAAGATGTTCGGAGAATGTCAAGATAACCTTGTTTAGAGCATTTTGTACGTCTTTCTATACGGGGGCTTTGTGGTTGAGTTATACGCAGAAACAGTACAGCGCTCTGCGTGTTCAATACAATAACGCGTTCAGGATGCTCTTGGGGCTGCCTCGCTTTTGTAGCGCATCGGGTATGTTTGCCAGCGCACGGGTAGACTGCTTCAACACAATCATGCGCAAGCGGTGCACGTCATTAGTGAACAGGGTGCGGGGCAGCCGCAATAGTATCCTGAGCGCCTTTGCTGAACGTTTTGACTGTCAGTACATGAACCACTGTTGTATGGTTCATGTACTGGCTAATGTGAAATTATTGTTTTGAGTTGGGAGATTATTTTAGTGATGACTGACTTGTGATTGTGATTTTTGATATGTGACTGTGACTTTTATATTGTATTATGGTTTGTAATGTGTAATTAATGATCTATGTAATTGATTGAAATAAATGGTAATAATAAAAGGCATATTTTTTTAAGAAAAGTTTGCTAGTAAATGCTAAAATTAAGTTAAAAGTCAATTACTGGAAGTGTGATTATTTTTTTAATATTTCATTGTATTGAAAGTACCCAATAGTGTAACACCGACTATTCGTTAGCGGAGTTTACAAACGTTACCTTCTGATTAAACTTTCTCGTAACAATTTCTTCTGTATAGTGGATGTGATTGAAAACCGAAATAACAAAGGTGACAAATTCATACGCTAGGTACTTAGATAAGTCTGCAGGTGTAGCGGCCGTACCCATTGACACGGTGGAGGGTAGAGAGGTATAAGTCCCCTCACTCAACTGAATTTGTAGTCGTGGGAAAATGTCTTTAAATAATATATGTATATATAACACCTTTTATCCACGAAAGGATAGGCAGAGGTGCACATTACGGCACCTAATGCCAATGTATGTACATTGTAACACCCACTTTTCACTATTTATGTTATGCATCCCATGTAATAGGGGGTGATCCTATTGTCATATACCGGGCACAGTTCCAGACTACGTGCTACCACTGAGAAACCCCCAGTAATACTTTGCTCGACTCAGGAATCGAACCCGAGACCCCTTGCCCCGCAGTCGTACTTGCGACCACTCGGCCAACGAGACAGTCACATTTTCCTTGTCTTTAATCAAACTTAAAACTAACTAAATAATTCTACGCATGATGGTTGGGAGACGGACGGTATTGTGTTTAGGGCTCACCCCCACTATGTTTATGTATCTGTAAACCAATCTTACCGTTATCTCCAAAACTACTAGTCCGGTTTTGATGTGATGTAGGGTAATAAACATTTAATAAACTAATACAAAAGCATTAAGTATTATGCGCGAAGGAACTAATTACTTGTTTACGATATCATCTGCAGTTTTTGTTTGTTTGTTTGCGTCAACGCCTCACGTACTGCCCTGCCTAGTACATATTAGACAGTACCGCGCTGATACTGGTTACTGAGTTGAAGCAAACAAGTTTTTACACTGGTTACTGCCTACTGGACGGACAGTTCTGGAACTCTTGTTGTTTTCCATTGATCGGATCTGTTTGCTGGCTTCATATCTGTTTGTTGGCTGGATCTGTTAACTCAGGAGTTCCTAACCGGGGGGCATGCCCCCCTTGGGGGGCGTAGTGAAATACTGGGGGGGGGGGGGCGTAATCGGTACGTTTAATTTTCGGAAATAGTACTTAAGCGCAATACACACTAAGCCCGCCGGGCCGCCGACACAACACGTTGGCTTGTATGAAAAGAATCAAATGAAAGACAAAAAGTTTCACGGCTATCCGAAGCGATTAATGATATGTTAATGATCAACAACTGGATAATGATTTGAAATTTGAAATAGAAACTCATCTATAAGAATTGGAAAACGAATTTCACCGGTACTATCGAGATGTTAATTCCTAGTTAGCGCATGACCAGAAACCCATTTGTTGTCGAGGTCTCAGATTTGTCTGAAGATGTTCAGGAATAATTTTTAGAAATGAAGGTTGACTCGACCATGAAATAAGACTTCCATCTCTTGACATTAGAGAAATTTTGGGTCAAACAATTTCTTGTTAATCACAAAATTGCTTCAATTCATTTAAGATTAATTATTCCATTTTCGACCACATATTTATGTGAGACAGGTTTTTCAGCTTTGATTTTAATAAAAACTAAACAGTGAAATCGTCTTGCCGTTGATAGCGATTTAACCATTGCTCTAACAAAGACTGAACCCAGAATCGACATACTGGTACAGAAGATGCAAGCTCAAGTATCTCATTTGTATTTAATAATTTTAAAAAACTAGCATATTTACCTAAATGTGAAAGTAATTAATGGTTTTCAGGTGTAGATACATATATCTTTTCTTATTAGATCCTTAAAACATAAATACATCTACAAATATCTGTATGGAACTCTTTGTTTTTCATTTTAAATCAAATAAATAATATAGTTAAAAAAAAAAATTTTGTGTTTTTAATGATTTTAAACTTAAGGGGACATGAGAATATTATTTTTGAATTGGGGAGGCTCAGTGAAAAAAAGGTTGGGAAACCCTGTGTTAACTGGAAACTACTGGATTAGTAACAAACATCATCACAAGCTAACAATTAACAGGTAACGACGTTTTGCTTCTCACCAACCTATAAATGGCATCTAAAAAAGGTACAGGTAAAAAGTAAGTATAGGTCTCCCTCACGCTAAGTAACTCTTAGTTAAGAGATGGTTTAGGTTCAGTCGGGCCTGAATATTGTTTCTTTCTCTAAATAGGACGTCCGTCCCAGTTACAATCAGTGCCGTCCACATACACCCGCCACAGCAGAGGAGTTACTTTACAGTTTTTTTAAAATAAAATGAGTCCTTTTTTAAAGTTTTCAGCCTTGCATAAATCTCTGTTTTTGGCATGATACATCTTAAGGTACTATAATAAAGGGTTGGTTTTAATATTTCTGTCAAACTTATCACGACATAATGACTTACTGTTTACTATTGTGATATGTATGTACCTATAATAACTGTTAATTTAATTTTTTGTAGATACTTGTTGTTTACATGTCCATGTGTTTGTATTACGTGTAATTAATGATATATGGTTGTAGAACATTCTACACAGCAATGACGTGAATCTAACAAACTATACGAGGTACCTATACAGCATTAGTCGTGTTGTTTTTTGGAAAATTCCACGTATGACAATGGAGTCAGTGTAACACTAACATGTAACACCCTGGAACTGTCCGGCAATACGCTAGTTGACAGGTAGTCAAATTCAATATATTTATTGAAATGTCAAAAACGATACTTTTCTATGAATTTTGTATTGGATCGCAACTTATGACGTCATCATATTTCTGCGTCAAATAGCATACTTATTTCCTTAAAATTAGCGAGAAAAAATCCAAAAGTAAGTAAATTGTCAAACGAATGGATGAGAGTATGATTATTTTTTAATTATTTATTGCATTGAAAAGTTGACACAATTTGTTTTAAACCTAGGACTAAACTAGCCAATTACTAACATGTGTCTATACTACACACACACACACATATGTATTGTGTGTATGTATAAGCTTATATTCTAACTATACCTTTTTAAACTGTCAAACACCAAGCAGTCACCGGTGACCGCGACCTATTGTTCTTTAATTGTGTCTATAAAACCGGTACTCGACGAGTTAAAATACCTTAAGGTCTCTAATCAAAGAAGTTTTCATTTCATCATCACTAGACACATCAAATAGCCCATAATATAATAATTCTGAAATCAATTTGAGAACAGATCATGTCATTTCATGAGATCCCATCTGCGAATCATTACGTCGTAGGTCAAGTGATCGCAAGCGCAATTTGTTGAACAAGAGTCTCAGGTTCTGTTTCTGAGCTCGGCTAATGTTCTGTTATTGGATTTAATGAAATTCGTAAACCCTCAGAAGTCTTAATAATGCCCAGTGCAAAAGGCTTAAACTCTATTGCGTTTCTGTTATGTTATTATAATAATATAACCCAGTCATCCCCTACCGAGGATAACTAAATGCAATATTGGATACTGAATTAAAGTTCACATCACAGACGTGCATATTAACTAACGGAATCAGCTTCAGTAAGGACGAGCACAGGACTCGAAGCTGTAACACGTCGTCGGTCGACAACGCATGTCCGAGCCTCTATCGGAGGTCAGCAGTTATATAAAAGTGGACGCGAGTCGCCGGCGACCGACAGTCAGTTACACTCTCCGTATGATTACTATTCATAAATAATTAACTGTCAAACTAATTGTCACACCTTTGTATTGGTAACAACGATGTTACATTGACTGACATCAACCAAAGGTTAAAATTCAGTATCTCAGAAGCCTAATTAAGAAAACAAAATAAATAATAGGGTAAGGGACAGAAGTGTAGTGTATTCTATACATTTGGTCGGTACAGTGGATTATGTTTGTGCTGGTGGTTCTAGCAGTGGTGACATCCACCGTCACTGCTCTGCAGGTTACTGGTAAGCTGCATCTGCATCTATAGATAACACACTAAACAAGATCTAAATTAAACAAAGCTACGATTTTAGTACCAACTAGTAATATTTACCTAGTACGCCGGGTTGCCGGGGCTCCGGCTGTAAGCAGAAGTACGAACGGGATGCCTTTTAATCAGTAAGAATCTGGCACTCCCTCTCGCCTTACCTAGGCGGGAGAAGACATTCAATAATTTTACCCCCTTAAAAAAAGTCTTTGTACCTAATTGTAACATTATGTGATATTAGCTGTACCCGCGATTTTGTCCGCGTGTAATAGTAATTCACAGCTCCTCCCCCGTAGATGCTAGCGTGATAATATGTAGTCTATATGTCAATGACCACAAAATTTCTTTCATCATTGCTATATGTTGACCCGACTTGTTAATAATATTCACCCAAAATTTGAGGTAAACCCATGTACCCCGAGTACTTTTTGAGTTTAGACCGGACATTGATACAGACAAACAGACAAAATTTTTATAAACCATACGTTTGCCTTCGATATCGATTGTCGATCACGACCAAAACATTATTAAAAAAAAACATTCGATGTACAATTTTCACTTTCCTACGATTTTATATAGAGGTATTACATATATATGTAAGTATAATGTAAGGATGAGTTGGTAGAACAGTTACATTCTAAACTTCCTGAATTTGTATAAAGTTCAGGTTGTTTCAGGTTAAAGTTCAGGAACCAGAACTTTAGGTAATTACCGAACTAATTAAACATCTGAGACATCGACTAATTACTTTTAATATTATCTACTACATAAAATAAAATGAAGGCTAAATGAATAATACTATTCTTTAGTGCGCAAAATTACAAACGGAAGTAAACTCTACAAATGCAAATAGCTTATAGCATTAATAATTTATTATTGTCTATTATATTATTATGTCTATAGCGCGATCATTAGCCACCCACTATGCACCACAATGGGTCATTATGTAATTTAAAAAAGACTTTATGCAATGAGTAATAACTTTGAAATTACTTTGAACTATGAGCTGCTTGTGGTGACTATCGACAATAGTCCATCAACCAGTCATGATAGTTTCCTTTTACTGCTCATTGTACTACGGAGTAACGACCACTGCCGTAGTACTTCTACTAGGCGTAATCATATATTCATATAAAACTCTAACTCATAATTATAATCATATCGAAAGTATTTAGGTGTGCACGTACGTTTGTACGTGACAAACTATGTGATTCTGCAGGTTACCGTCATGTCAACCAACATGATCCCGGATATTGTAGAATTAGCAATTTTTATGGCCTTACGCACTGACATGTTTCTTTAGTGCTCAAAATCGATTTAGCGTTGCAATAAAAGTGATTGTGTTTAAATTTCTATACTAAATAGCTGGTGTTTTTTTGTCCGGTATATTGTGTATTGGCAAAGCCTTTATACATAATTATCTAGCTATAAATAGAAATTCTAAAAAAGACGCATTTTATACTAGCTAGAAGTACTAGAAGTGCTAGCTGCTAGCTCATTAACACCTACTCTCGAAAATATTAAACTTGTAACAAAAGTTTTGATAATTTTGAACACACTGTACAAGATTATGTATCAGGCTTGACCTAAAACTGCGACTTGTCTCCGAGGGATAGGGAGCATCCTCAAAAAATTCAGTGACGTAACTGTGATCCCAATGTGTAAGGAATAATGTCTTTTCTGTAAAATATGGTTTACAAATTGTAAATTACAATACAACCTCCCGGCTGGTGTGCTACAGATGAAGAGTACTACGAGCTGCCGAGGCTGTTCCACCTGGACAACTGGGAGGAGTGCGCGGCGAAAGGGGGGATGTACTGCCTCGGGACATTCGACCTCATGCCTTACCAGAACGACCGGCTCTACAACGTTATACAGGTAGATGCCACCTATTATAACACCTAGTCCAGAAATTATCATGATTTTATAATTAAAAGTGCAGTGTTGCTAATACTAATCAGTACTTTAACAGCAACCAAACATTTTTTCTTTCCTCTGTTGAGTGAGTCGCGAAACTAACGTCCTATTCAATATGTTCCAGCACGTGTCTGCCGACAGATACCGGTTCAACCACACACGCATACACCGAGGGCTGTGCTTACCATCATCATGTGTTCACTTCCACGATCCTTCTCCAAGAGCACAATTCAGCGCATGCGTGAACAAAGTGACACGTGACCAGTACGGCTTGGAGACTAACCTGACGCAGCTGCAGTACTGCAGGACAGCTGGAGATACGCGCTCGTTGGACCAGTGGGACCTCACCTTCTTGTACGTGGCAGGCATGCTCCTGCTGGCCAATGTCGTGGGCACGGTGTACCATCTGATGGCAAGCAAGGATGGCACTTGTAAGTGAATTAGTTAGTATAGTCGACTTCTTTTTTTAACCCGAACTTATTCACGAATGTGATGCGTATTTAACGCCAATGTTTTATTCGTCCTCTATAGTGATCAAGCAGCTAATGGCCTGGTCAGTGGTGGATAACTGGCGACGGCTGACGGCAGACCATAGCGAAGGAGGGGATACCAGGCTGTCAGCTCTGAAGCCTATACAAGGGATGAAGTCAGTATAACATTATTCATACGCTTTGTCACTGCATCGCCATACCATAACTTCCAGAAGGAGTAATTTATTAAGTTTAAGTGATTAAGTTTAATTATGTCAGTAGTACCTAGTCGACCCTGTCAGTGCTGATTCACCTGAACAATAGCTATAATGAGGTCCACCACTAATAACCTCGCTGTGTTGCAGAGTGCTGACGCTGGTGCTGGTGATGCTGGCTCACTCAGTTCTGGCATATCATCTCACATACCTGTACAATCCGCGGTTCTTCGAGAAAGTAAGCAATTCTTTTTAATATAAAATATAAATAAGTTACATTATATGAAATTCGGAAATAGATACTCGATATACTTGATAGTAAATAGAACAGGATGGCAATAGGCTCACCCCCTATTACATGGGACTCATAACATAAATAGTGAAAAGTGGGTGTTACATTGTACAGTGGCATAATGTGCACCTCTGCCTACCCCTTCGGGGATAAAAGGCGTGATATTATGTATGTAAATAGAAGAGGAATTTTTAAGCATTTTCAATGACATCAACATTATTTTCTCTGACAGAGCAGTCACCACATCCTGTCTGCATACCTGCAGAATGGCACATCCATAGTGCAGACCTTCATCATGGTGTCCAGTTTCCTGCTGGCGTACAACTTGCTCCACCACGTCTCTGATAACCCGAAGAAGCAGCTCTCCATGAAAATGTTCCCACGATGCTTGCTGCACAGGATTGCCAGGTAGCCAACTGTCACCCTTATTGCTTTATTTGTTTGTTCAAAAACTTCTTACGAAATGTTTTTCAAAAGGTCATTATTGTTGACAAGGTTATCTTCTTAGATGAGTTGACTATTTTAGGGATTTATTTGTGTGTTTGTGTTTATTCACAGAATATCTCCTTTGTACGTGTTCGTGTTGGGTTTGGCTACAACCTGGTGGGCACACGCTGGCGACGGGCCCCTTTGGACCCCAATGGTGAGAGATGAGGCGACCCACTGCAGAGACAAATGGTGGGCCCAAGTGCTGTTTGTCAATAACTTTATAAAACCAGACGACCGGTGTCTCATACACACGTGGTGAGTTCCATATGAAAGTATTTTATTTTTCCGGATAGTAATAATTCTGATTTTATTTTTATATAAATCGTCACTACAATGGTCGCTTACCTCCAAGTTGAAATATGTAACTATGCGTTAACGTCGCATGTTGGTATTGCATCGCTGAGCATTTCCCTTCCCGTAATAATTGATCATGTTTATATCTTGATGTTATCATAATGTACTGCCTACATTCACCAGCTGAGCCAATGGTCATGGCAATCTTCTATAATAATATTGTAGAAAAGTGGAAACTGTACATTGAATATTTTTTTAAAGAATCCTTGGGCGTGATTTGCTGTCCATGTCGAAGCCAAAAATATGGTTTTTAGAATTTTTGTCTGTTTGTATGTCCGGGCTAAACTCAAAAAGTACTGTATGAATTTACTTCAAATTTTGCATGAACATTACTAAGAAGCCGGGTTCACATATATGGCTATATATTATCACGCTATCACCTATAGGGGAGGAGCTGTAAATCACTATTCCACGCGGACGAAGTCGCAGGCACAGCTAGTTTACAATATGTTTGTATGAGGTCTGACTCACTTTTGACATGATTTAAGACGGTAGCAGCCACGTCAGTAACTCTCACCGATTCTGGTAAATGCCATAAAAAATAATGATGATCTGTTTAAAAAAGTTCTACCTAAGGTCAGTCTTGGTAAATTCGAGGATGGGCCTAACGCAGAACCCTGAGGCATACCTACTTTCTACCTATATTTATTATTTGTGGTATGTTTTATTTAGGTTTCTCGCCGTAGACATGCAACTGTACATCATCTGCGCAGTGTTCACGCTGCTGCTGGGTAGACGGCCACGAGTGGCAGTCAAGATCCTGGCTGTCTGTATTTTCGGGTCAATGTTGATGAACTTTGCGATAATATACAACTGGAAACTGAAGCCAATGGTACTGCTTATGATTCCAGAGTAAGTAAAAAACCTTAAAAATCTTGCTAGCTAGATGCCTATGCTAGCGATAAATAGTTATCCTATTGATATTTGCTGATCTTAGTAAACTGATGTAACAACACGTAACAAAGACCACAATCAGTTTCTCACTCGTGCCTTCAGGTTGATGAGGACACAGTTCCCCGGGGAGCGTTCGTTTACTTGGCTGTACTCCGCACCTTGGGACAGTCTACCTTCAGCACTAATCGGGCTACTGGCGGCCTTCTTACATTACTGTCATCACGAAGAGGGATACCAACCAGCACAGAGTAGGGTAAGTAGACGATAGGAGACAGAAAATAGATTTCACATTTATGTAATCAACTGTAACCAAAAAATAAAGAGTTGCTTTTTATTTTCCAGTGCATAAGAATACTATATCGTCTGTCAGTCCCGAGCATGTTTTTGTGGGTCGTTGGAGGGTACTGGATGAAGGGTGTGACTCATCCCTTGGTAGTGACTCTGTACGCAACCATAGACAGGCCGGTTTTCTTGACCCTGACGACCTTTGCAATGTACGGATTCATTAACAGAATTGATAGTAAGTACGACATCAGATTTTACTGATTCTTGTTTTGATATTTTGGAGACTGTAAGAACTGTCATGCCAAAAACCAAATGGTTTACACTACTTACTTACGATGTACTCTTGATTCAAGAGATCTTCAAGTGGTCCTTGGTTACAGGTGTCTGGTGGAAGTTCCTATCGTGGCGCGGTTGGGAGATCCTGGGACGTATGTCTCTGTCCATCTACCTCATCCACTGGCTCATCGCTCTCATGCTACTAGCACAGCGCACCAACACTAACAGAGCTGCTGTTTTTGATATTGTAAGTAAACTTATTCTAGTCTCATTCACACCATCCACACAAGACATCACATAACATCTATCTATGCCTATAACATATATCTATGCCAAATGCAAAGTATCTATCGCAAGGAAAGCTTTCTATACAAGGTGTTGTTTTAAAGCCGCGTCATTTTCTAAGAGGTAACTAAGCTATGGATTCTGAGTCCGAATCAATAAAAAAAAATATTTTTAATTTTTCTGTAAATTACGGAAATCCGTAAGTGCGAACTACACGCCGCCGTCTTGTAACTATCCGCGCTTAACACACACAAACTCAAACACGTAATTGATATTATTCCTAATTCCATAAAACTCCAATAAGAAACATTGCTGTCGCTTATTCTGAAATACTGTTGAACTTAATTTCTTTACTATTGGCCTGAAACTTTCTCTTACATTGAATCTTTATGACTTCTGTGACATGCCCCCGAGAAATGTCACGGTTTCAAAACTACACCTTGTATACTTCTAGAATTAAACTTACTAACTATAACTGAAATAAAATTGAGGTACACGCACTCGTACGTAGCGTACCAGCAGGCGTATGCAATGCTAAGAAATATTTCGATGTTACAGGGGTGCCACTGGCTGGGCACAATATTCCTGAGTTACTGCGCTGCTGTACCTTTGCACTTACTCGTCGAACTGCCAGCTATGAGGTTCCTTCAATCCTTGGCCATGTAAACTACAAGAACTTTAGAAAGTTGAGAGTGCAAGCCGCTGTGAACGATTAAAACATTGTATAACAACTAGTTTTTAATTATTACGTACTGTAGGCAGCAATGACTATGGGTCATCTCATCTGTGATATTGTTTTAATTTTTATCGTAATTAAATGTAAATAGTCTGCCTTCATGTTCTAGTTGTTAAAGTAGGTAACAGCAAATAATTTTAATCTTATTAATCTACTTAGGTTTCGGACTAAATAATTGCATTAGACGCAATCTAGACATAGTTAATCTAGCTAGTAGGTGACTGTTTGGCTGTAGTACATCCAGTGAACATTAACTATTGAATCAATGGATAAAATAAACTTAAAGACCTCGAATATACAAAAACCGTGTTTTATTTTAATACTAAACTCATCACTAAAAACTGTGTACTGTTTAAAATGTTGATATTAATCTCATTAATTTATCACTATCTCATAAAGAAAATGAACAGCGAGAGAAATTCATTTTTATTATAAACATGATAATAAAATACGGACGAATTTCCTGTAATAAAACATTCTATTTTCGTCCGCTCTCCACTATACGACACTATGCAATAACTCACTGTGAGTGTATCGGAACGTGCTAACTTGACATTGACAACTGACTGACGTCAGTCAGTTGTCTGTCACGCGTATGACGTTAGTTCGTGTGATCATTGGCCCAAACCAGCGTTAATAACACGCAAATTGTTGTGTTTGTAGGGTCTGCTCCTGCTCAAATTACGTAATTAAGGTGTTAGTGTAGTACGGAAGCGATGGGAAACCACCACAGCCATGATACAAAGGGCGGGGGAGATCAATCAGGTAGTGGAACTAGCACGCCGCGAGGTTCCCAACGAGGTGCTGGCTCTCGTTCCGGTTCTGGTGGTGACTTGCAAGGCCTAGCGGAGGCTAAGGAGAAGCCTCCGCCGTCTATGGTGCCGGTGGAGAAGCTCGGCAAGGTGAGGAAACGCTTGCATGTCCATTTAATTAGCGAGGGTCATCGTCAGGGTTAGATTGACGTTTCCTGTTAGTATGTTTGTTTTGATTCGCGTTGATAACGACCGTATCGGTAAATCTTTAACGTTTGACAGGTTCGAGTCGGGTCGCGAATGATTGAATCATGGAATGTTTTCAGAAAATGTGTGACTAACGTGAGGATTCGTATGAGATTTGTAAATAGATACACGATTGTAATGTGAACTAGAAGTTATATCTCGGCAGTCAAGTGATATTTATGAGTGCTAGATAAAGATGATTCACGAGGATCTGTAACACATTCTTTATCTTAGTATCTTAATCTTGGACTTTTTACACCAAACAACTGGGAATTATAATCTTAATGAGTATTATAACTTAATTACAATGCTGTGAAAACAGAACAGTGAGCCTTGTCTATGAAAATTACAATAGACAATCCCAGTTACAACAGAGGTTTATGTTGACCTTGGTCATTGTCCTGAGGTCTAGCCCCACACTGAGCACACAAGGTCGTCTGTAACATTTCATACAATTATGATTTGTTTCAAGTGTCTGTGGAATCATTATTAATTTAACATTATGTCTGACTGACATGCTACCTCTGTTGTACATACAAATAACAGACAACACTGATTGAATGTTTTAAATAAAGAAGTGATAACTGATTAGATTGGATCCAATTTATTCAAAATATTTACCAAGCTATTTCTAGTGTTAATCTAAAGAAATATTAGGTACTACTAAGCTCTAAAACATAAAGTCTCCTTTCTACAAAAAACATGACAATAATGCGGAAACAAACTATTAACTCGTCGAGTACCGGTTTTATAGACACAATTAACTCGTCGAGTACCGGTTTTATAGACACAATTAAAGAACAATAGGTCGCGGTCACCGGTGACCGCTTGGTGTTTGACAGTTTAAAGAACAAGAGGTCGCGGTCACCGGTGACCGCTTGGTGTTTGACAGTTTAAGTACCATTGGAATTAATTATTTTTTTACTTAGAGATTTGTTTGTTCCATTTTTATTGCTACAACGGAAATTACAAAGATTGTTTAATTATTAACTGAATAATTCTGCAGTAACCATAGGCTGTTGGCTACTGTTTGTTGTTCATTAATTTAGTTTATGTTTGGAGTGATTTTTATGTTAATGTGTTCAGTAGAATTAATTTTTGGTAATTCCAGCTTTTATTTTACACACAGACCTGTCTGAGTCTAGTGTTCTTCTCTGAGTTGGATCAACAGGTAGTTTGTCTCGACCACCTGTCTATGATGTAAATGTAGTGCAGTGTTTACAAAACTAACAATGCTATGGAACATTGAACTTAACACTGTTATAGGTTTTAAATAGCATAAACATGCAAATAAAACTTGTGTCAGTTAGAGAGAAAAGTATAATAACATAATTCTAATCTTATTGGAGCCTAGCTTTACTCACAGACAAACTATTGTTTATTTTATATTTGTTAACTTTTCAAATTATGGTTTATTAATTTCAATAAATGCTTTTGAGTTTGAGTTTGGAGACAAATTATTATAAGACAATATTTATTTGTTGACCTACAATTTATACCATTACGTAACTATGGATTAGTGGATCTACTTTTCGTCTATCAAAATGAAAATAGTACTTACCTGTTTGTGAATATGTGTTAGCATATATTATCACAAGTTTAGAGTATCATGTGATAGCCATCACATGACGTCGTGGCTAATGAGCGCCGCTGTGCCGCGACACCGCGACGTCGGTTGCTGCTTGATTGAGCCCATGAATACATACAGAGAGATGCACTAATTGACGCTCTCTATGTACCGAACCAATTCGCACATTTACGAACATTACTGCTTTATCGGAATTACAATCGATTATAAAGTTTTATTTAGTTTAGTTAGCTGAAAAATTATTATTAATTTTTTTTGGGAAATTGAAATTGGATTCCTACATTGAGTTTTATTTATTTTGTGGTTTAACTATAACTTAAGTTAAATGTTATGTGAAGTAAGTAGTTGTATAATATGAGTTATATTATGTCTCCATATAAAAAGTGCAACAAAAACATCCTAGGGCCATTTTCTTGTATTTCTTCATTGTATTTGATATAGAAACAGTAAATTAAACTGTCAAACACCAAGCGGTCACCGGTGACCGCGACCTATTGTTCTTTAATTGTGTCTATAAAACCGGTACTCGACGAGTTAAACTGTCAAACACCAAGCGGTCACCGGTGACCGCGACCTATTGTTCTCTAATTGTGTCTATAAAACCGGTACTCGACGAGTTAATGCTACATACCTCTGAACCTTCAACAGCATGCTATGGATGTCGTTTAACTCTCAGGATGCTAAGGATGGAAGATCGAATATTTTGCTGACTTCTTAGACTAGTTAGTTATAGCTATCCTAAATCCCAATCACTACCCGAGTATTTTTTCTCCAAAATCAAAATAAAACAGGTAGTTTAGACAACTTTCTAAGAAACTTTTGCCTCCTTTCTATTCAATAAAAAATAAATAAAAAGAAACTTTTTGACAGTGTTATTAACACTTTAGTCAGTGGCAATTGGCTCTACCTAGATGTGTACTTTCATGAATTAGTAACTGATTAGTAATTACAGCTCTTTAAACAAACTCGATACTTAATCGATATAATCGGCTCTGTGTCCCGTTATCCGTAGCTCTATGCCAGCATATCTTAATGTGTGTTAATATCGAATAATTCGCTGCTGACAATCTTATCACAGTGATTGATAGCCGTGATTGTGTGCCCTCACCGCCTCACCGCCAACCGTCGCGTGTCGGTCACAAGCGACGCGTGTTTACGAACTAGTTAAATAAATAAATTACGTAAACTAAACTAAAGAAGAGGAAAAAAACAGTGTAAATTATAGAAAAATAACTTTATGTCAATAAAAAAGTAATAAAGCCATAGTTAATCGAATAATTCAGTTTTCATAATTACGTTAAAAGTGCGCCACTATGGAGCGTTGGAGGCGTATTGTTAAGAATATGCGGTTCTCGATGATGGGCATACAAGTCAGCAGGGTCAAGAAGAAGAAAACTGCTTCGCCTACTTGTAAAGTACGTATTAATCAATTCACAAAGAACTGCAGCGTGTTATCCTATGTATACTTGCTTTTTGATAACTGGTTATTTCGTGGTTTTATATTCAGGTAGTAGTGAAATCATTATAGCGCCGTAATCGTCCATGATTATGGACCCTGTCGTGGCTTGAAACTACTCGAGCATCACCTCAAACAATTACGCACTTAAGTAACAGAACTCGTGGCTATCTCCGCTAGGTACTTTTTAGCTTGTGGTTGCGAACTGCGTGTATATTTTAGAACTTATTAAGTTATTATGTACATACCAACAAACAAACATTTTTTTTTATATGAGTTAACCAAGTGACTCCGTATGTATCAACCGATGTGGTTCGAACTGACAGAATTATCAATGAAACATAATTGATGGCTGATAATCATTGTTAATGACTGATAGTACATTGTTTTCACATGCACTTGTGTGAAAATATACTTCACAATAATGGATCAAGAAAATAAAAGGAAGCGGACGATGATAACAAAGTATAGTTATACCTTGTACAATCTAAACTAAGTTCAATTGTAAACCAGCATTGAAGTAATCATTCACAATCATATTGCTTGCCAGGCCAGGCTTGTCATGCTAGGCCTGACCAAGCTATTGTATTTATTACAAAGAAATGCACTATGCTCCATGCAGTTTTGCTCTCAATAACTCCCAAATGTGTATCAATCCATGACGCTACAATCAGCTGATTAACGAGTTTCCATTGTTCACCATGACGTCACTCACAATCTAGTGTAAACTCAATTTTACGAGAGCGTGCTCTTGACATTGAGCTCCGATGCAGCTATTAATACTTCGGCATAATAAACAGATTTTCGGATCATGGCTATCTGTAACATGCTTGATGTTATCAAAGTTTATTTATAACTCGGTGTTCCCGTGGCTGTAGTTTACCGGATATAATTAGTTTTATTTGTCTACTTCTCATCTAACTACAAAACTAGAAGTACTAACAAAGAAAGAAGAGACAAGTGCGTTCTCAAGAGCCAAGACACAAAACAATACAATAATACCGAAACACACGTCACGTGGGATGTGGATGGACGTGCATAATGTCCCGAGGCTGCATCGAATAGGGTAGTACCTAGAAGGTAGTTCAACATGCGCAAGACAATAATCTTGTACTGTTGTTCTACTGAACCATATTAATGGATTTCTAGAACCGAAATTATAGACACGCACGGGCACTTCACAGGACAATTTCATTATTTTTGTAGATCAAAACCTCTAATAAACATGTTTATTTCGTGCAGGAGATTAGCTCGGATATACAAACTATATATGTATCTATTTGGTATATTATGGAGTTGTTTCTCAAATTATTTCTGCATACAAATCCTCCGCACTTGCCCGACTATCAAAATACAATCACCTGTGTAAATACTACGACGTTCATTTATTTTTAAACTTATTTGTCTAGCAATAAAACTGAAAATATTTGTTTAGTTCAATTGCTAACTGTCGGTCACATTGAAATATATCTTGATGCTCTTTGTTACAGTTACTAGTCCAGAGGTCACAAAAAGAAGATGGAGTCAACGGAGTCACAGAGAACTCTTTCACAGTGAGTGCTAATCGTAATATCCGTCACTAAGCTTTTTATTCAAAAACTACTATGGTAAGTTTCACAAGTAACTAAGTCCTGAGGTATCCAACGGTTGTCTCCAGAAATACCTATTCCCGATGTACCCGGAGCTGGCCCGCCAGTTCTTCAAGTACATCCACCGCGTGGGCAAGTGCAAAAACAAACACATCCCACTGTCCACGTTCCGGCAGCAGTGCGAGAAGATACTCGCCATGCTGGACGACGCCATGATCATCGAGACTTACGTCAGGTACGCAACACAAGATCCAGAGCACACAAGGCATTGTTTCCAGCTTAGCCACTACTAAATATTACCGTGCTTCTTCTGGTCTTTGAAGTATAGAGTAATGACATGATCCCTGTATAACTATTTCTAAAATAGGTTAAATGCTCAGTATTGCTCAGGTCTTACCACAGAAATATTAAAACACGGTCTTACACATCGATTTTAAGCTTTTGTCCAGTCTACGTACCTAATGATCGATTTTCCTCTGGTGTCATTAGTTAGTCTCATCTGTGAGTGCAGCGTCATCAGTAGCTCGACATGCAGTCAGGCAGCGTCTTTGTCTCGTCGCAGCCTGCAACAATGTTGATGACGATCAGCTATAAATAACTAGAAGGTCATCATATCGCGGCGCTAGGTTTTTGTTTGTAATCGTCGGATTATGACTGTCAAAGTCATTGCAAACTTCCGGAGATTTTAGATACTTCTGGAAATTAATGATGAACTTAAATTTGTAGATAATAACAATGACGTAATAAAAACCTCTTCAGACCTAGTTACCAATGGTAGCAGGTATCGTAGTAGCTCATAACTAGTTAAGGCTATACAGGGGGGTATATGTGCAGGATGTTCGCTGCAGAGACGGACGAGAACATGGTGACCCCGGACGGGCTGCGCAGTCTGCTCTATACCAGCTACAAGCTCTCCATGGACCACTACCCTGAGGGGCCGCAGACTTGTCTCATGGTGAGTCTATTTAAGAAACTTTGAGAATTGAAGTGTTACCTCATGCAGGACAGAAACAACTGGATACTTACCATCGGTATATTTATGTTCAGATCAACAAAACGTTATCAGTGGTCGTGAACGGCTGCTTCAACAAGAAGGACATGCACAGCGTCGGCTTCGTAGTGCGCTGGCTGGAGGAGCACTGTCACAGACTTATATTCCCAGTGCATAGGTAAGTGTATGGGGACTAGGAAACGTTTGGTAACTGCAGAGTAAAGCAAAGTCACATCACACTTCTACTCTTCTCGTAGTTGTCGAAAGATCCGACTCAAGGATTTTACATTTAACAGAGACTGGTCAGCAGTTACTGACCGACTGATAACTTTTTAAGCTACGACCTTGTAACCGTTCGTCAAGCGTGGAGATTGTGGCAAGTCCCTATTTTGGAAAGGAGGTTCATAGTCCAGCAGCGATGATGACGAGTGCGATTGAGTGAGTTGGTGTGTGTAGGTACTGCGTGCACATGTTGGCGACGCGGCACCGCGACATAGCGTCGTGCGTGGAGTCGAGCGGGTCGGGGTCGGGGCTGGAGCTGGCGACGCCGGTGCTGGAGCGCGGCGCGTGGCAGGCGGCCAGCGCGCTGCTGCCCGTGTCGGTGGCCTGGCTGCTGGCCGGCACGGCGCCGCCGCTCTACTCGCGCCCCACGCAGCCCCCGCCGCAGCCCGCGCACGGTACTCTACAGCTAGAGACTCCTTCCATTATCCATTCACAACTATATCTTTTACCATTCTCCCATAGAAAACTCGTCACTCCTTTACCCGTCACACAATCTATCCATCTTTTCCTTGATCATCTCTTCCCCCTCCATCCTTCTGCACTCGCTTTACCACACCAAATGAGCTTATAAAGGTCTGATCGTCTTAATGACGTGTCCAGTAACCGTACCTGTCTGTACCCAGGCGGCGGCCTGGCGTCAGCAGCGTGGTTGGCTCGCCTAGTATGCGCGGTGCCGTCTCACTGGGCGCAGCTGTACGCGTCCCGCGACCACGGCCTGGGCGCCAACCGGTTCCTGCATCATACACTCGCCTACAGGTACAGATTTGAGAGTTTGAAACCTATCTAGAAGTCATTGGGGGATATCTACGTTCAACAGTAAACGTGTGGTGGCTGATATGTTGGTGAAGATATTGTCTGTGTGTAGGGGCCCTACGATAGTGCTGCTGTCAGGCGGCGAGCTGGTGGTGGCGCTGTGCGCGGCGCAGGAGTGGCGGGAGACGCACCAGTACTGGGGCGGGCAGGACTCCGCGCTACTGCAAATACAGCCCACGTACGTATACTGACGTAGTATACACCGTTTTAAATAGCTTATTTATAAGTGATTTAGATGTCATTATAGCGAAAATATTTTATGCAAAAATCAGAATTTATCACCTGATTGTCTCATATTTTTTACCCTTTTTCAGTTTTAACTTTTCTAACCAATAATAATTACTTTTATGTCTCAATTAACCACTATAGTTAATTAAAGTTATTTGATTTTGTTTCCAGGTTTTCAGTAGTAGAGAAGGGTCCGAAGATGTTGTACCTGAACACTGCGATCCGTGGCTACCCGAAGGGTCTCCGCGCGGGCTCCGACCCTCGCAAGCCATTGCTTATCATACCGGAGGACTTCGACTCCATCACCTTCAAGGGAGTGCCGTATCCTCTCGAGGCTATTGAGGTAACCATACATTTTTTTATGAGATAAGCTGGTAAACGAACAGACGGATCACCTGTTGGTAAGCAGTCAACGTCGTCCATGGACACCTGGAACATCAGAGGCGTTACCTTTTTTTGCGTGGCCTTTTGAGAATTGGGAATTTGAGGATTGTGGGGGATTAGGGGATTGGGGGGACTAGGGAGGTGGGGTACGGTAATTGGGCTTTCACTCATGCAATGAGATAAAACGCGAGCGTTGTTTTACGTTGGTTTTCTGTGAGGCCGTGGTACCACTTCGGCCGAGTCGAGCCGTTGTTGAAGCGTGGTTGTTCCACATGTAATGTAGCAAGGAGCTGGTTACAAATATAATTGACTGCCGGTTGGTCCGGTGGCTGGGCAGCCGGCTGCCGCGCAACATGTCGCGTTCGATTCCCGCACGGAACAACTCTCTGTGTGATCCACAAACTGTTGTTCCGAGTCTGGGTGTCATGTGTATGTGAACTTGTATGTTTGTAAACGCATCCCACGACACAGGAGGAAATCCTAGTGTGGGGCAACGTTTTATTCTAAATAAAAAAAAGTTATGTGAATATTGTCGTACTTGTCATAAAACGTATGATTCGGTTCCCCCAGGTATGGGGTTGCGGCGACCAGACATCCCGCGAGGTACAGCTGGAGATCAAGAAGTGGCAGGTCAAGGAGGCGGAGAGGCAACGATGTGTAAGATTACATAACTTACCTTATACTTGTATTCATCATCATCATATCAGCTACAGGACTTCCACTGCTGAACATGGCCTCCCCAATGACTTCCAGACAGCCCGATTGGAAGCGACCTGCCTACTACTGCACGCTAGTTCTATTATTAGTTTTTAATTTTCAACCTTAACTTATTGCAATAGAGTTCAAATCAATTAAATAATTTGATTTGATTCAATTTCATACACATCCTGTAATTATACATCTATGTAACCTGTGAAATAACCATTCTCTTTTGCTTTTTTTTTATGTAAAATGATTGAGTAAAGTTCTACTAGTTTCGATCCCCGTGATTCTTTTTTGTTTATCCTGCTATCAGTGTCCACGACTATAATAAGGTTTGTTGTTGTTGCTGGGGTTTGGAGAGGTGAAGCTACTCCGACTTCACTTAGTTATCTAGCACATCCGCCCTCTTCAGTCGGCTTTGGGTGATCTGTCAGACGGTCCGTGTAGTTGGTTGAGTATGTCTATTTCGTCCAGTATAGTGGGAATTTGCAGGTATTCGTGGATTTCTGAGTTGCGAGAAGAATAAGATATACAGAATAAGATATAAAGATGACAGAATTCTATGGATATTATTTTGTGATCTTTGTAGGCTCATAGTATTTGATTTGCTGGCTGTTGGCCACAGTTGGATTCCATACGTCCAGATTGGTTTTATTATGGAGCAATAAACCCTTAGCTTGTTGGACAAGGACAGTACAGATTGTCTACCAAGAAGCCAGAGTAGGTTTTTGAATGTTAAGTTAATTTCATTGCGTTTCGTTTTTATGTGATCTTTCCATGTCATCCCGAAGGATGACGGATGACCGAAGTCAAGGTGAAATCCAAGGTATTAAACGCAGGCCGATTGAGGCAATGAGTCGGAACCTAGATTAACTGAAGGGCAAGTTTCGCGTCTCAGGGTGCTCAGGGAGCCCAACTATTGTCAGATCTAATAGGAGGAGAACTTTGCGTTGGCTGTGGGAGGTCCTTTGTTGCATTCCATAGATTGTGAGTTCCATTAGCATTTGGAGACATTTTTGCCAATCGTTGGGTAAGCGTTTAGTTTATAGCGTGATTCAGTTGATCTCTGAGTTCTTTAAATTGCTCGATTAAACTGTCAAACACCAAGCGGTCACCGGTGACCGCGACCTATTGTTCTTTAATTGTGTCTATAAAACCGGTACTCGACGAGTTAAACCTAGTCTTATCTGCACTTCTATGGGGTGTCTGCTAAATTCTGCGAAGACGTCTTTTATTAGCAATTTTTTCCTTAATTGCCAGGGGAACCGTTGGCCTTCGAGATGAATCCTTTAGCTCAAATTCAGTATAATAATAATAATTATTATTTATGTATGTATGTCTCACGATGGTTATTATACAAGGCCCATTCCCGTGTCCGCAGGTGAAGTTGTCGGCGGCGGACTGGATCGAGCACCCCGACCGCTACCTGCTGGAGCTGGCCGGCCGCCCGCAGTACAACAACTCGGCCAGCTAGGACTACGAGCTGGAGCGGGACTACGATGTCTCTCAGTTTGTTTGGACAGGGTGCGACTCTAATGTAAGCTTTTGTAAGTGCTGGTTTTGGTCGCAACTCGCGCAAAGTAGTAGTGAATACCTCATTGTGTATACTTTTATTTTAGCACTCTCAGAAATTGAAGTAGATTTGCAATCACAAGTCTCGTCAATCTATGGAGATTGCAAATTTTCTTTATTGTTTCTAAGTTCTAAAAACACATTGTTTCATGTTCTGAACCAGCACTTGTAAGGTCTAACGCTTATCCTGTCACACCTTGGAATCATCTCAACATGTAATTTATTCGGTTCGTGTTCTTATGTATGTCGCTGACATACAATTATGTTTAAGAACACAAGTGTTTCTATGTTTGTATAATTTTATTGACGACTAGTTTGCACCGACATAAACTAATTGAATTGTCCAACATATGGGTTATAGACACAGAGCCTATGGCCTAACAACGTGTTTTATCTATCTAATGTCTGTCAATAATCCAGATAAAATCAGTTATTCTGGATTGGGATCGGTTCTTATTTTGGATCCTCGTACTTGAAGAAGAACTGAGAATTTAACGATATCTTTGACAGTTTACTGTATTTAACGTATCACAAGTACGCTTACACACTTTAACTCGTAAACAAAGTAAATTAAACATTATAAGAAAACAACGTATTTTTTACAAACAACGGTTTATATTTATAATATAGTATACATACAGTGATATTATAAGGTCTGAACTAATGATAATTACTAGAGAAAGCCAATGATTGTTGTTCATTTAAGTGTCAAAGTTGTAATGAGATGTCTTACAATGCTTGCTTGTAACACACATGATTGGGGCGTATGACAAATTTAAGTGAAAAGCGTTTTTTAACCCACTTTACAAAATAAGGCTTTGTGCTCTTGATTTTTTAAATCCAAGCTTTTCGCCCACTAGCTACGAGGCTACCGTTATATTTCTCATCAGATAGCGCAAATGTTGGAAGACTTTTTTGTCCAATCACAACAGCTGTCAAATATTAAACGTCCAATGGTGTGAGACTAGCTCATTCCCCATTGGATGAATAACGAGAAGTTCACACTAGCGCCATCTAGTCAGCAAGAATGCGGTAGGCCCCATTGCACTCACCAAGTAGGGTGTGTACCAAGTAAAGCGTTGTAAGACATCGTAAGTATGTGTGCTTCCCATTGGTCGGCCTTTTGTAGTACATTTGTAGAGTTATAACTTTGAAACATCGTGTAATATCAGTTTAATAAATATATATCATTAAATGTAATTAGAACTATGTATGCATCGTACGCGTATGTATGTCATACGATTTGTGAAACTTATAACATTAGAATATTTACTATTATTGTTACATATCTAACACTATTTAAATTAAATTAAACTTAATGTGTGAATTCAACTGCAATTACAGATCTGGATCTGGCATAACCGTCCGCCATTTTGAAAAATCAATGTTGCCAGTGATAATAATATTTTATCTACTTACTGAAATGTAAAATCTATAGGCATACAAGTATACCTATAGTTATCTATGTGATTAGAGATATAATCTGTATCTGAATATTTCAATCAAATTATAACACGCATAGTGTATTACTACTTTTCTACTTGCGAATACAAACTCAGTACATAGTGCCAGTTTGTTTTACGTTACCGCCATTGACACGTTTATGACGTTCAGCGCTCTGATTGGCCTGTTCCAATTGACCAACCAATCAGAAGTCTATATGCAGTACCTAACCTTACGATCGCGTTAACGTAAAACCAACTCGCACTAGATACTTGGTTCATTGTGTTTACTGTTTACTAATTCATTAAGTACTTATATTATTTCGTACTTAAAGATGTGTTTCTCCTTTGTAAAATATTTATTACATCATGTTTTTGATGAAGTTTCTTCTCTGACAAAAAGTTGTTGATAAAATATTGTTGAGGACTAGCATAATTAGTTAGTGTATTCAAAAATACACACGGATATGTAATGTACCTTGTTATAATCGTTGCGACGTAAGCACTCTTAGTAACTAGGCTGAATGATCGTGATACCTAAACTATGGCAACACATTGTAAGCCCTAATTCGTTAGTGTTGCCAGTTATGTAAAATATGTAATGACATGACATGTGGTAAGATTGTACTTGCCAGTTATATTTATTGCAGTTTTTATGCATACAAAATGTATAATATAAATAGTAACAAGTGGGTGTTACATTGTACATTGGCATTAAGAAGTGTCGTAATGTGCTCCTCTGCCTACCCCTTCGGGGATAAAAGGCGTGATGTTACGTTATGTCGAAATATATAAGAAGTTAGGGCAAATATGTGTGTGAAGCCACATGATTAGTTTAAGGTTTAAGTTGATATTTATAACTGTGTGGGTATCTCAGACTTAGGTCAACATGTTTAATTGGTCAATTCAACAATACACAGAGTGGTCGGTCCTATCAAATATTTGTTCAGATTGTAAGCAGACAACTATTTTATCACCAAAGTATAACTTACGTCACGTAAGAAGCATTTTACTAGAACGAGCTTCGAGTATATAAACGTTCCTATCATAAGCCATAAACGCGAGTCACTTAGGGAGTTAGTAACACTCGTCAACGGTGTTATATTTTATTTTATATTTTATAAATGGACCAAAATGTTTTAATAATATTGCACTAGACTAAGCGGAATGTTTTTGTAGATAACAATAAGTTTTATTTACGTAATTGTCTACGATCTCAAACTTTTGGCGGGATTATTTTTTCGACATCTTTTTTTGTCTATATCCAACCAAATCCAAGTTTATGGTTAGACGTGACTTTCTTTGGAGAGAAATTCCGTCGTTCGTAACTTTCTTTATTGATATTATTTGAGATCGCTAGTAAGATATTTGTGTTCAGTTTAACGAGAGTTGTAGTGGGTTGTTTGTTAGTAAGACATCACAAGCATCAGCTTGACGTAACACTGCACAGTCATTAACATGCGCTTCGTAACATTGTATTCTAGGTGCTAAATGAATGCTTTTGTTGATAAGGATTTTGTGTATTATACATGTAAATTGTAATAATAAATCAAATATTTTATTACAACATCTTTTTATTTTCCTGACAAATGGTAAACTTGATGCATGAAAATAAATAAAATGAAGCCTGTCTTTACAATTTACAAGATGTTTTTAATTTTATTGCAACATTGCTACGCTACATTGTTGTACCTACATAACGTCATGTCCCCAAAGAAGATGGCAGAAAGAAGTGCAACGGCGGGACATTCTATTTTAACTAGTTATAATAGAGTTGCCTGCAAAAGGGGATGAATAATTAAACATATTACTTACCATACAGATAAGCGGAACCCAACAAATATGAAAATAATTTGTTTGCAACCGATACACGGAATAATATTCCGCATCAATTTCAGAACGTACCTACCTACCATCAGATTTAATATTGACATGACAACTGAGTGAGAGACTGACAGTGACATAACATGTGCTGTTGAAGAATGATGACATATGACATGAAAATGATAAACAAACTGAAACTTGGACTCTGATGGACCGTGGACTGTGATTGTGATGAACTTTAGTTAAATAGTTAATTAGCAACAACTTTGTTGGTCAATACTATGGCGGTGTACGCGGCGCACTTGACGCGGACGCTGCAAGGTACTCCGAGCGTATTTCAAGTCACGGCACAGGAGGCGCTCGGGTCTACCGTGAAACCTGCGCTACGGAAAGTTGTAGAGGTATTCTATCAATTATGTAGTTGGTACACACTCGTTTATATCATGCTGCTATTCTTCGTTTGCTAGAGGTATTCGAACGGTATAGTATATCGCTAGTAAATGCCATGGATACTCCCTGACCCTATAATTTTTTTTAATAAGTTTCTACGGCTGTAAAAGCGAGGGTCAATATATCCAAGATAAAACCGTTATTCTCTGCTCAAGCTTCCAAGTAAATAAAGTTTCAAGTGCTATCACTACTAAATAAAGTTTCAGGTTTTAAACCTATTGATGTAAACAAAACAAGAATCGAGCTACATCCATTTATGAACTAAAACTAAACTTGTTTACTAAACACAATAAGTAAAACATTTTTGTTTAAAAGCCAAATGAATTTGTCATGGGTCATTTATTAAATTGGCATTTTATCTCATTGTGGAAATACCTAAATTATCTTTATTAAGTAGGATTAGATTACTGAAGTACACTTGTATTTTTGTATTGTACCTACCTATGTACATTTTATCTTTAGAGTTACTGACAAATAAACCTTAATATTCATAATGTTTCTATTCATTCCTAGAAATAGAAGCAGTACAGTTTATAGTCATATGTACATTGATAGTTATAATTTGAATGTTAAAAAATGTCCATGATAATAAAAATTAGAGACTATTTTGTGACAAGTCCTAGTCGAACAACACAAAATACTTATGTTTAATCACTCTGTGGTCCTAACTTCAACATCAATGTGGTTGTGACTAGGGAAGCCAGTGCCAGAAATGTAATAATTATATCTCTAGGGATACAACTATATTATTGCTTTATCTATCTTACTGCGACATAACTACTGTAGTTAATAATTTTGCACTCACTGGGTGGTGCTTACATAGCATAAGGTTGATCAACCAATCACTGGTGTTGCTATATATTCCAGTTCCTGTCAGTGACATATCCCACCAAGTGTGGCTGGTGTCTACGCTATTATGACGAGCTGTATCTGCTGTTTGATACATGTCTACAGTACTACTACCTCAAGCATTATGGTGAGCTACATAACCTAATTTTTTTTATAAATTTTAAACTTAAAGACATGTAATAAAGTTAAAAATCAATTTTAACTTTATTACATGTCTTTTATGTCATTAGTAAAAAAAACAAAATTGAAGATATTGAACAGATTGGAGTAGGCTAATGTGCAGCTTAATCTATGTTAATGTATGTAATAGATTTAAATGGATTTGTTATAAAGCTCAAAATGGCTTCAAAATATCGAACTGGTTAGAGTATGTTAATATGCTGCTCTATCTGAGTGCACTATGAAAAGTTATACCTACAATATACTTAATAGTTTGTCTTCATATTATGTTTTACACTGGCTTTTATCCAAACAATGTTACTAGCTAAATAACTGATTAAAACTTCAGCGGCATCATTCTCCGAGAGTTTCTACGACCTCCTCCGAGTGCCAACAGTCACGAATGAGTTCACGACGGGACAGCAGCTCCCTGTCCACCTGGAGCGAGCCTCACTGGCACTGCTCGTACTGGTACCATACATACAGGACCGGCTCGAGGCGCTAGTGGAGCGGTGGAGGGAGGATGATGAGGATGGCAGGCTTGGAAAGGTGAGTTAAGGTGGTGACTGTAATAAGTTCAAAGGCTTGCAAGGAGATTTTAGCGATATAATGTATGTTTTGACTCAAACTTCTTCTTAATAACTTTCGCTACGAGGGTTGCATGCACTATTCCTACATTTAAATGCCACTGATGTACAATCGACAAATTTTAATCATGCGACCCACAATAACGAAATCGTTAAAAAGCTTTTGAGATCAACTCAATGGCATAAGGGCTACTGCGCCTGAGGTTCGTTAAGGACCGTAAGTACTTAAGTGTGTTTGTGTACCAGTCTGCACCGGACAGAGTCCGTCGTGCCGCAGTGGTAGTATGGCGCGCCGTGCGCGTGGCGAGCTGGGCGGCGCGCGCCGTGTGGCTGGCGCGGTACGTGGCGGGGCGCGGCGCGGCGCACTCGCTGTCGCTGGCAGTGCTCGGCCTCGGCCTGCGCCCCGCGCCGCCTCGCCCGCCCTACCAGTACACGTGGGGAGATCTCATACGGAATCTATTCACTGGACAGTTCAGGTGATTATCATTTTCTTTGTAGAATTTTGAATGAGTAGCTGACTCCAAAGCGAAACAAGATTATTAATTAAAGGTGCGATGTCTAATTTTGCTGTAAATAGGTCTATGAAATTCATCCTCCGAATTTTACAAAAATATCTGATATTGTTATTGCATTATTCGCTTGAGACGACGTAGTGGCACAAACAAGCACACGAGATTCTGTATGTAACAATAACAAATGGTTATGTTTCAGTGGCGCGGAGTGGTTCCCCCTGGTGGGCGGCGGCGCGCTGCGCGTGGTGGAGTACGGCGCCTTCGCGGTGCAGTTCCTGCGCTGGTGGGACACTCGCGCCGCGCCCACTACTAGTCTACCTACACCGCCGCCGCCGCAGGTATACTATACTCATATTTGCTAACTTTACTAACTTCTAAATCTTTTAAGCCCCATGTTTCCTGACGTATAGTTCATCACTGTAGCTGATCGTACCAGCTGATGATTTCCTTTCTTCAAACATTATGCTAATATTACAAAGTAGATGAGATAATCAGGAGTAAACGGCTCAATAAATAATACTTTGTTCAGTGTTTGGGCGGCTGCCACTATTCAACCCACCATTGGTACCACAGCTGATGCTCACGAAGCTTCATGACATGTCTTTTTGACGCATCTCACAAGTTATCGACTGAGAGGAAATAGCTGACAAAAATTAGCGCCTGGCATACCATCCTTATTGTGGTGTGATGTTGTGTACCTGTGCCGGGCGTACAGTGGTTAAAGTCGGGAATTATGACAAAAATACGAATAATTTAAATGAAAACAGTGAAATACAATGTTTGACTCCAGCTCCTTTCAACGCTTATAACTCAGTCCGGACTGAGATTTTCATATTATGAGCCCATAGACAATTTAGTTTGTAATGTCAGTCAGAAAAAAGAAAGGCACCAATTTTAGGCAATGCCTTTTCATCCAAATACGTCCAGTAGTTGTATATCCATACATCTTTACCACAAACTTTGGCATTTATAACTATGTAGGTAGTTTTGAGGTGATTTGTTAGTCTTTTTTAAGGGGGCTTTTTTAAGGGGGGAAAATCATCGAATGCCTGCTCCCGCCTGGATGAGGCTGGAGGGAGTGTCAGACTCTTACAGACTAATATCCACCCCGATCCTACTCATGCAATTCGAGCCAGAGGCCCGGGAACCCGTTAGGTTCTCCGCGGCTCCGTGATTTGTTAGTCTGGCAGTCTTACTTTCAAGTCTGACCTTATTGCCCAAGTGACACAACAATCCATGTACACAAAGCACCGCTAATTAGTTGCAGCGCTACACATCGACACAACTGTCATTTACACAGTGTACATGTGTGCGTAATTTCATATAACTGTATATAAAAATATTCGTCCACCACGTTCACATTGGTATTTTCATTCTTGTGTCGGTATACGTATTTTTATAATTTAATGCATAGGTAAGGTTAAAACTATTTACAATCATTGATATGACCCGACATTTTCACTGTCATTATCGTAGTGCTCGTGGTCGATTGGTTAATGAGCACGCTTTTATCGTCTTTCAAGGATCAATGATGTGGGTTCTATTCCAGCTTAAAGTTAATTTTATTTTACCTTGTTATTTTTCTTATTTTTTTTTTTTGTTTTTTTGTCATAAAATATAAATATCAGGCTATAAAAGAAGCAAATGAGTTGGTAAATAAAACAATACTATTTTTTATTACAATTAATTTATTTATTATACAAATATGTTGTTTTATATTCAATATTTATATCTAATAATTAATTATATACCACATGTTAAGTTTAAAGTTCTTTAAATCATAATTAATAGATATGACAATAAACCTCATAGTCGAATCGGGAAATATCATGCGGTACAGCGGTAATACGATGGCAGCAACATTTTTTATTAAGTAGGTAATAAACAAATATACAACATTCTTGTTTTGTAATTTAATAATATAATGTATTATTAAATTACAGTTTTACAGTAATAAACAAGTAAAACATGTAAAAAATTACACTGTCAACATAATATTTCTTGAAATGGGCGACTTTTTGTCGTTTGAACTTCCATTAATTATCTATTTTACGACGGTTGTTATAAGGTTCAATATTCAGTGGGCTGTATGATAGTAAAAAGAATGTGACGAATGCTATGGAACGATTTTAACTTTCATGACCTTTAGAATCAGGGAAACTTTAAATTAATTGAAGATGGGCGTAAATATAATATGTCAATCAAGTTCGAAAGCAGTTAAATAAATTTGTTAATGAAAAATTAAAGTGAAGTGAATAAACATGTTGAATAGAAAGAAATTATGACAATTTCTAACCACAAAACAATAACATCACTTCACCGTATGTTCTAGACAGCATTTTAATATTCTTAAAAAAATTAAACATTATTTTATGTTAATTTTAATAAAGGCAGAGTTTGACAGGCTCAATAATTGATTCCGAAATCAATACAATCACTGATCCTACAAGGCAGAAGGTTGCAATTCGTATACCTTTCTCCATCTTTTCTTCACAATATTTTACGCCCATCCTTATCCGACTTGAAAGTCTTTTCGTCGCTCAATATGATTACACTGTTCGCCCAATCAAAATTAATAAAGTCCTTAGCAAATTCTTAGCGCTTTTGCTGGTGAACCACAGATAACAATATTTTCTTCTCTGGCTTCCTGCACCTTAAACCAGAATGCAGGTGTCTCCGTACAGTTTGTATTAAAACATTCAGTGCTGTCGCTGTAGTGCGGGTTGGCAGGAACGGATCAGCCATGTGCCTGGCTACGATGTCGTAGTGCCGAGCCGATGAATTTGCCTTTGGTTTAGGCCCACGTCGACGATGTTTAACGTCACCGGTCTCCGCATATCTGTGCACCCATAACTGCATGGATCTCCTCTGTTGATACCAAACAAATAAGTATTTAAAATACCAGGAAATACTTTACAGGAATTAAAGTTATTTAAAAATAATAATAAATATAAGTAAACACAATGTTAGAATAATAATTTATAATTAAGTAGTGGCGTAAGGAATAAAAATCCCTAACCAGATATGTTTTAAAGAAACACTCCTAACAAAAACAAGTCAAGTTACAATACAATTAATAATAAATTATTAATTTATAATATTGAACTTCATAATAAGTTGCAATAATTATTTTATTCTAGTGCAAAAATTGATAGGTGTGTCGAGTTACAAAATGAAATAAATATTATTTAGAATATCAACGTAGTATCTTATTTACTCACCGATATCATTAAACGCCTTGCTATTTCAGTTATTGTTAGTTATGTTTTGCTCATGCAAAACAATGGTTTCAGCCTTTTTAAATGTTGATAGGTGTTGGATCATCTTGTAAAAATAAAAATAACTTTGCACACGAATATAAGTAGTGTAGCAATAAACTATGAAATCCTCATAAATTGACAACTAAGAACGCAATTATTTTGTAAGTCGGGTGATTTGAAAAACATGTTTTAAATAGTCGGTAGTTACTTCATAAGCGTGTAAAATAAAATGACTCGAGATTTCTATGGTCGCCACAAACATTGCAAATATACTCAGGTATCGAACCATTAAGAAATCACAGTTAATTACTTTTTTACTGTTTTTATCTTATTTAAGTTGGTTGAAATGCATGAAGCAAATGAGATTATTCTAAATAATAAATAACTAGAACTAAAATATAAATAAAAGATATTATAGGTATAAATAAATCTAAAGTATTTACTATTAAAATTAACATAAGATTTAGAACAATAGGAAAGGAAAAAAAAGAAAAGATTTAATTGTTTCTAATTTCAAATTTCAAATATTTGATAAATTAATTCTAAAACAACATGTGAATGTTGGAATCGATCCGGCGGCACTTTACTTGACAATTGGAGGCGATAACCATTGCGCCAAGCGCGCTGTAGATGAGATCATCGAAATATTTTATATCATTCAGTAACATAAAATTACAATGAGAAAGCACTATATTTATATGGGTATTGTATAGCTCGATCGTTCATTATTTTTGATTTCGATTTATTCAAAGTTTGTTATGAGTAATTTTATCTTTACCCTCGTTTTTATTTAAACTTATTTACTAAATTATTGCGTATACCGACACAAAAATGATTTTTAAATACCAAGATGTGTGTGATAGACGAATGTTTCTATACATATCTATTGATATGAAATTACCCACACATGTATATTGTGTAAATGATAGTTGTGTCGATGTGTAGCGCCGCTAACTAATTAGCGGTGCTTTGTGTACACTATTACTCTCTCTGTTTATGCATACAATACAAGATTATAGTACGCGTTACTTCAAGCACCTTATTTGACACTTTATAATATGTTTCCAGCGAGACGAGCGAGCAGTGCGTTGGAAGAACAAGTGTCCAATATGTCTGCAGTCCTGGAAGATACCAACTGTATTACCGGTGTCAGGGTAGGTCGAAAATTTACCTAAACTATACAGGGTGTTAACTATTAAACAAAGATATAGGCAACAAAGCGCTCTGCAACAACACCAACAAAACACCGAGAGGGAAAATAAAAAATTAGAATCACGAGGTAGAGTGTGGGCAATAACAGCGGCCATATGCTCAGTAACCGGACTGATTTCGTCACCCTTCAGAAAAAATGTGGTTAAATCTGCTCAAGGATCAGGAGGCGCATAAATACATTCTCCTCCCCCCAGGTCATCACCAACAAGAGCAGCTATGGGTCACGTTTGTCCGCCGAGGCTTCGACAAGCGTCCACTACCAGAGACCATGTCGTAAATGCTTTTCTCGAGTTTACCGCAGTGGTGGAGGCAACCAGGCAGGTCAACATGCGGAAATGCGAATCCATTCTGCAGACTTACCTGCAAGGAAACGAGCTAATACTGAACGATAGACTCGAAGCAGCAGAAGCAGTCATATACGACAACAACATCTCGAGGGTACTGAGAGGAACCTCTATAACTCGAAGTATGGCTGCTTATAACGCAACTGCCGGATTTGTGTCTCTGGACGAGGGGAATCCGATCGATGCGGAGTGTTAAAGTTTAAAACTCCTCCAGGGGATTCCCTAGTAGTAGTGGTTGCCAAATGCACCAGAATTATGCTGGACGATAGAATATTAGAGATGGCAAGATCCATTTCTGATTCTGGATCAGACGGCGAAGTTTTTGGAGACTGGCATACATACTCCGACGTTTCGCTGGACAAATGGCGTCCCTGGTTGCGGAAAAACGACATGGATAGTAGATCAATTTGAAGCGGGCAAAGATCTAATTGTCACCACGACAACCGAAGCAGCAAATGACCTCAGAGGCAAACTATCCTGCCGAATCGGAGGACTCGTCAAATCTAGGGTTCGAACAATGGCGTCCATCCTAGTAAACGGCTTGGGGGAGCGAGAGAGCTGCCATCGACTAATGGTAGATGAGGCTCTCATGAACCACTTTGGAGCCGTTGTGATGGCCGCCCGAATAACTCGAGCCAAGGAAGTCCTTCTAATTGGTGACATAAATCAGCTTCCGTTTATAGATCGTGATAACCTCTTCCCTCTACTCTACATCCGCCCTACATATATCACGCCCATAAGCCAGGAATTGATGTGTACCCACAGAAATCCAATGGATGTGGCGTATGCCCTCAGCACAGTTTACAGTGGCATATATTCGTCCAGGTCGTTCGTGAGATCCCTCGAGATAAAAAGGTTCTCGGGGGCGATAATTCCAAAGTCACTCCCCGACACTTTATACCTGGTACACACTCAGGCAGAGAAGGAATCCCTTAAGAACCAGGGATACGGGTCGACCGTGGGATCACGCGTGCTCACGATACACGAGGCACAGGGACTTTCGTGTGCGAATGTGATTGTTGTCAACACAGCAACGAAGAAACATCAAATACATGACAGCGTACCACACGCGGTAGTAGCAATATCGCGTCACACGCATGGCTGCATCTATTACACAGACAACAGTGAAGACGCGATAAGCAAACTAATCAGGAAGGCGGCTGATGAGGGTGAGCAAGGTATTAAGGACTACAACCTGAAAATGGCCATCAAACACAGGGACGCGGCGGTCATGGGTGCTCTCTTGGGCGGGGAGTGTTGCTTGTGATGAAACGAATGCAACATGAGGAAATGTGTGTGCAGAAACATGTAGAAATAGAATATGACCAATTGACTTTGGACTATTGTACGCTTTATTGGAATCGGCCCATGTGGCAAGGGTTGAGGCGTCATGCACACATAAATGTCCTACAGTCGGTGGCGCTGTGTGTTGGGTTGTTCCGTTCCCAATAAAAAGGTTGACCGGACCAATTGCTGACACACACGTCATACTCGTGAACGGGTGCCTTCTGCTGGGTCAGGTCGGCTCTCCCATCTTGTTGGTGGGCTGGTTTCATAAAGCCTTTGAAATAGAAATAAATAAATAGTGCCTAATTATTATGTAACCTATACTTTTGCTAATAATTTTAGATGTAGTTAATTGTAGTGTGTAACTAGGTTCCCTCTTTACTTTATAAAAATTGACTAGATGTATTATAATTAAAAAACTGTATGACAAGGGCACGGACCTAGAGTCCGTGGAGAAATAATCTATAATATTAAAAAAAAAAAACTATTAAACCAAGGAAGTTTTTCTCATAGTTTGTGCGCTTAGTGTAGGTAATATATATTTTTTAAACTAAATGCAGTTTTCTATCGACCAAATTAGTGACTCTAAACAAAATTTCCAGCTACGTGTACTGCTACGCCTGTATAGCGCGCGAGCTCCGCGCGCGGCCGCAGTGTCCGGTCACCGCGCTGCCGGCCACTGAGGCCAGCCTCGTCAGACTATACGTCGACTGAGAACTGAGTACTGAGGAACATCTGCTAATGTCGCCAGTGAGTACTGAGTTAGTTACCTACTTGTTGGAATTCCTGTTTAAAAAGAAATTCTGATCTACGTTTACGAAAATAATTTCTATGAAGTGCAATATTTCCAATAGTAAATGGAAATATATTAGTTAGCTTGTGCCATGTCGAGTCACATTGTCACTTACACAGACACTAGTCAAGTTCTATGAAATATACAGGGTGTCCCTGAAGTCGACAATCAAATGGCAGCAGATGATCGGCAAGGTTCCAACAGTTATCAGAATAATATTGAAAAAAAATCCAAGTCATATAGTTTTCAAATTACAATGTCTTATGTGTCATCCACGACAAAGTAATGGCACAGGGCCAGTCTTTTGACTTTTGTTGCTACAATTCTTTATTTTTTCGTCTGAATTTTTGCTTACGTCATCCTTAATAGTGCTTCAGTATTATGGAATCATAAATTCTGAGCCAACTGCTTTAGTTTGGAAAATAATATAATTTTTTGCTGAATCAAGATCAATCGATGATGAAATGATCGAACATTTCACCTTAGTTTAAGTGACTATACTGAAAAAAAATTGTACTGCGCTAGTTGTGGCAAATTTCAGCAAAGTTGGCGCATTTAGTGAGGATTCTAAAATGGTATACCACTTCCTACATTATTTCTTGAATACGACACAAAAAAAAATTCTTCAACGAAACTCCGTTTCGAACAATTTATTTGGACTTACTAAAATTTATTCTAGTGTTTCCAAAGTGCATTTAAAAACCTCGTATCCACTAGGTAACACTTTGGACGCGACATGACGTTATCATCATATTGCTAAACATGTTGGAAATCAGCAAGGGTCTCTAAAATAACATCGTCAGTCTCTCGCAAAAATTCAGACGAAAAAATAAAGTATTGTGGCAACAAACAAGAGTCAAAAGACTGGCACAGGGTGTACTTTTTCGTGGATAATACATTGTTATTTAAAAAGTATCTGACTTGGAATTTCTTAAATGTTTTCCCGGTAACTGTTGGAAACTTGCTGATCACTTGCTGCCATTTGATCGTCGACTTCAGGAACACCCTGTATGTAGTAGATACGATCGACAAATTCATATCATGACCTACTGTACGATATACGAATATGTCAAAATAACAAATGTCAAGGGACTGTGTACCATCGAGTGTCGATCTACTTGTATTTAATGACTAATAATAATATTATAATAAGTAGACTCAAATATTGTTTATAGGTATTGTTATCAAATCTAAGTAAATATACGTTTGTTAAGTCCGACTTTTGACTCGGACGGATGTAGTTAGATAGATAGTATCTAATGTTCAAATAGTCAAACGTCACTCAATTTTAAGACGCTCTCAACAATACTTCTGTCACTGCAAATTCTTTTTAAAATGACAGAGATAGCGATATTTGAGTACAACCATAGTGGGGCCCTCTGTATTTTGCTCACTAGATGTCGCTAGTGTCAGCGTCTCATTTTTCATCCAATAGGGTAGTAGCCTGTGTATGAAAATTAAAAATGTAATTAGTCCGTCAGTTACACACTGAAAAAATATTACACTAGACACATATTTTTTTGTCGTATAAAAAAACAATATTTAGGTAAAATGGAGTAAAGTTAAGTAAATCGTCGCACGATATTTCAAATCAATATATCATCTATTTAGTATAGTATTTGATTTTGTAAGAAAAGAAAAAATACGTGTCTAATGTTATAAAATGATCTAAAAGACAGACATTGAAAAAAAAATTACGATACTACTCTATAGAGAATTAGCTAGTGTGACACGTTTAATATTTGAAAGTGACATGACAGTGATTGGACAAAACAAAAACCCACTCATCGACATATATTAGTATATGTCGATGAACCCACTCGCTACATTTGCGCCATCTGCGAGTAAAAATACGGCAGCCCCATTGAGTAACGTTTCAGTTTCAGTATTCGGACATAATTCATTTAATAGTTATTATTTTTAACTTTATAGTCTAACTAGGAACAAATGGAGTGCGTTACCCAGGCCAGATGTTGTCGAAAATGGCCATTTGAATCTTATAGATAATTAGTTGTGCGGCTTCTGTAATTTTTGCGCACATTTTTAAATTTGTTGCGCTTATTTTGGTTTTTTTATTGCATAACAAATTTGAACTAATTAATAAGAAGCCATATACCAAATATGATAAGAATCAGCTTAACCATTTCAAAGATCTTGCAAAATCAAAAACGTTATCCCAGCAAAATCTCGAATAACTTCGCAACCGATGAAAGAACAAATACAAAACAAGGCACAACATTTACTTTATCTAGACAACTAATTTTATAGCTAGTAATTATTGAAATATTCCCATTAGAAAGAAAAAGGTCTGGCTGGAGTAACGTTACCCCAGCAGGAAATGTTTTTGTGAAATAATTAAAAAACTTTAAGCGCAACAAATTTAAAAATGTGCGCAACAATAACAGAAGCCGGACTACTAATTATCTATAAGATTCAAATGACCATTTTCGACAACATCTGGCCTGGGTAACGCACTCGAACAAATGATAAAATATTAAATACTTTCTCGGACGTGGTATTGACTATTGTATTGTATGACTGCCAAAATAATTATAGGTAAAAATTCTATAATTTGTAGGGAATATCAAGGTGTTGTGTTTCTGAGAGTTAAGTAATGGTAAAAGGGAGTTTGTCTCAAAATGTTTTTATAATTATTAATTTGAACCTCATTCCGTATGTAATAAGGTTTATTATTGCATTCAGTTTGTATATTATATTGATTTTTCCATATTTTTTTATTGTTGCTATATGTTATTTACTATTACATTAATTTGTTATGAAATGTAAATAATATTATACAATTTTGTTACATTTTTTTTATAAATAAAAGACAAAATATTATTTTTTAATCATTTATTTTAGAAACGTATAACAAATGTTTGTACTATAAAGATTAACAATATTGTTTGTGATGATATATGAAAAAGGTGGCAAACAGACAAACAAACAATATGTTTGCACTAGTCTGCAGGTATTACATGGTCCATTTTACAAGTGACGTGCAGTGAGAAGCACCGAGTACGTTGTATGTTGTTCTTTCCCCCCATTGGGGGGCGGGGGAGTGGTCCACAATCCCCCCTCCCGCAGTGGGAATGAAAGAAAAACTTACCACGTAGCCGATGATTCTCATTGCACGAGAGTTGCACTCACCATAGCGAGTACAAGGTGGTATGTTTTTCCAAAAAATACGTTTGCAAATGAGCAGATGGACTACCTATTGGGCTTTTGGGGGATTTAGGCAAGGTTTGGGTCTCCGGTAACCTCACTCACAACGCAAGCGTTATTTCACGCCGGTGTACTGTGAGGCCGTGGTATCACTCCGGTCGAGCCGACCCATTCGTGCAGAAGCATGGCTCTCCACGTGTTAATAATAATATCAAGATGTTTACGCAATAAAAAAGTAAAAAAGAAAACGTTTTAACGTTTGTAACACTTACTAACTAGAGTCTAAATTAACGAAATATGATTGTAAGAATGAAATGGAAAAAACAACATGTCTTTGGCAAAACTTAAACATTAAACTTATCAATAGAAGAGCTACGCACTATGACACTTAATCAACAAAAAATTAACGTAAGTATGTGAGTATGTAGGTCACAGGTACTCGACATCGTTGGCGATGACTCCGTGCAGGTAGTGGTGCGACAGTTGGCGACCCGACGGAGACACCAGCACCAGGCGGGGGCTGTCCCCCCTGTACAGCAGGGGGGACACCTCCCCCGCCGCCGGGCTGCCCGCGGGGGGCAGGCTGGCCACGTACTGTCTCAGCTCGTCCCGCGACTTGAACGTTCTATTGCCGTACACGGACGACCCCTCTGGAATCGTCAGTGTCTCCCAGGGAAGTGATGTGTCGAAGTAACCTCCCTCGCCCTGGAAATTGGAATAGACACGTAAATGAGCGGGTACATAGTTTTACCTGTAAACAAATGACACAAGCTGGATGCGGACAGATAGTTTTCGCTATAAAACCCGCGAGTCGTCTGGAGTTTTAAAACTCGTATTACATTTCGATAACATCAAGCTCTTTATAGTTTTCTGCTGAACTGGAGTATAGATTTCCTCACATAAGAAAGTTTGCCATAATTTCCAAACTTGGTAAAACTAAATATGGAAATTGTAGTTTACAAGGTTCCGGCTTCAGAGAGTGTTGTTGCTCTGTCTGTGAAGGCTGAAGCCTTTAGTCGCCACTTACTGACACCCGCGGGAAACTAGCGTTACTGAAAAATGTATTCCACTCGTCCGTCGTCATGTGTTTCTGTAAGTACAAAGTAATCCCAACTAATAACTTGGCCTACCTCGAGAGCAGACACAGCGTAGTGCCTGCCCCACTTGGCAGTGACGACGGACACGAGGTGTCCGGCCTGGTCCACGATGGGAGTCCCGGCCAGGTACAGGTTGGCGGACTCGAAGCTGGGCGCCAGCCGCCACTGCGCCAGCACGCCGTCGCTCGACACCAGCAGCACGCGCTGCCGCCGGTTGATGAACACCTGCCGACATGTCACGTAGGCCTCGTGTTACTAGGACTATTTTTATTTCAGGAGGAAGTGCTCTGCCTTCCGCATTCTGCTAAAAGTGGTAAATATTTCTAATTGTCCGATTTTTTGGGATTCTGCCTAGTCATAGAAACTGGCTGGTTTGATAAGATAAGTAACGATAATTTTATTACAAAAATTGATCACACTTTTGACAATCACCCTTATAACGCAGCTATCAGCTCAAAAGACCAAGAGTGCAGACATTGGTATGTATTTAGAATCATGCGGGATTTATTTATAAAGGAACGAAGTAAGGTCACATCGAATCAGCCCAAGGTCTAGTCTAAAGGCAAGTACTGAGGAGGTACTATATGTACCTTCTCTGCGGTGTTCTCATCAATCCTGACGTAGACCAGGTCTCCGAGCGGCGCCAGCGTCTCGTCGGTGAAGATGTCGCAGTAGTGGTGCGTCGTCTTACGATGCTGTTCCACCTGTAATGAGATAATACCATGATGACCCTTGCATTCCTTAATTTCTACGAGGTTCTAATTTAATAAGTTTTCTGGTGATCATATGTAACGAACCATGATTTATCAAGAAGAACTCTGAAACATTCCAGATTTCCCTGCTCTTTTACTGCCAACTTTGATAGCTCTATAATAATTAGGAACCATTCCAGAAATGAGTCGGTAGTGTTGATTACAAAATGACATTAGTTATGGACCTGTTCAGGCGTGCAGCAGTGGATGGGCACGACGCTCCCGAAGGTGGCGTAGGGTCTACCATCAGGTCGCTGGTGCAGCTCGGCGGGGATGCTCATGTTCTCCACAATCCCGCGATACGTCAGCCCTGCTGCCGCCGGGGTGGTCGTGTTCGGGAATCCTGTGCGCTTCGACATCGTTGTCACCTGCACAAATGGAAGTAAATGATAAAATTGATGTAAATATCTTTATTTAAGACGAACAGACAGTTTTGAACATCAAACAATATCCCTTTTGTATTCAGTTTTGTTACAATCACATTATTGTTTTATAATACAAAATGTAATCAACACAAAGTAAAGTAAATAAATCAATTAGTTATCTAATTCTATACAATACTACCATAAGTCTGTAACAGCTGCATTTCTATGTTGAGAGAAAAATAGCATTCGTGGATGCAATTCAGTGTTAGTTAATTGAGATGTTACCTCACACACACACACACAGAACTACATAAGTACTTATAATAAATTAATTTATCAACGTTTATAAAAACAATTACCTTAAGATTGACTTGTTTCAGTAAAATGATCGATTTATCCTCAACACTACCGGAGTACATTATAGTGGTCAACAAATTATTTGATTACACACATTGTTATGTAAAGCGATGCTAGATTACTGGCACGTTATCGGTACCTGCCGTGTGTTTGTTTGTCACAATCTAGTGAATGCTGCCACTCCCGCAGATAACGTGCTGATTGACTAATTTTATTTCTTAATGTTATCAAGTGGTCATCATAATCCGTTTCCAGATATTTCCAAATTTCCTTTTTAAAAAGTAAGAAGAAAGTACCTACCTAGTCAATGCGACTCTTCATTTGGAGAGTGTGGACAGATTTTCTATCTTATTTGTATTGTTATAAAGTTCAAATTTGAGAATTCTAACAAGGAGTAGCTTGATGTGCTGGCGTCTATAGAAAACTAGTCGATCCTGCAGCTGTAGCCAAATGCCATTGAGCGCTTGTCTACATGTAGAATAGAAAACTAGGCACTGGCTGTTTGCTAAGTAATAATTAGTTTTATCTCTTTATGGTTACTGATAGTTTCACAACTTTTATGACGAGCCTAACTAAATTACCTGCATGTTACTAAATTATGCTGTGCCTTGAACCAACATAGTGTTCCATTTAAATAGGTAGAATCCATATAAGACCTTTAACCCTCAACGTGTAGCGGGTGCGATTCCCGAACAGAGCAACTTATTGTGTGACCCACAAATTGTTTCGGGTCTGGGTGTCATGTGTGAACTTGTATGAGTTGTATGTTTGTAAACGCCCCCACGACACAGGAGAAAATTAGTCAAATAATAAAAAATGGACGAGCATCCATCAAGAGATTGATGAATGTAGATGAAGCGAAAGAGTTATGTCAGAATCTTGGCATTTAGCATTCTATTGTCTCTGCCTACTCCAATGGGAGACAGGCTTGACAATATAATTAAAATAAGTGTACAGGTACAGTCGCCAGCTGCAAGTTAACCATACTCGAAACTGACTGCAATTTCGACTTTATATCAAAACTATAAAGTTTAAAATATAATAAAAGAATTCGACAAAGAGGTGGACCTGCTGGCACCTGTAGTTATGCTTACAAACTGTAATGTTGTGTAAGGTGGCACAGACGTCTGCTCAGTCACGGGACTGTCACTGTTTGTCTTTGCCTCAGTCAGGTGATTAGAATCCATTATCACTTGGCATTCTACAATCATTAGCTGTTAGCTGGGTGGTTCCAATCTTAGGGTCGTAATTGTGACCGTTACCAGCCGTCGTCAACCTACTGACTGGTAACGGTCACACCGACTGATGACAAATAGGAAATAAAAAATATGAAGGATGACGAAAATATAGTTGTTTTTAGGATTCAGTAATGTAGCTCAAAAAGTTTAGACATCACTTATGTAGGACGAGACACAATGAATAACCTTGATAATAGATTTAAATAGGTATATTATGTGATATTGTTTACTGTTAATTTTAGAGTTTTCCTTATTCTGACCTTTCTTAAAAGAACTTTACATTTAGACTGCTGACTTTAATATTACAGTGATGGAAAGTTCTCTCTTATATTTTATGTAAGTAACATATCTATGTATTAAACTAGTTAAAGTAATTATAATGTATAGGTAATACTAGTTCTAAACGACCAATAAATCACGATTATCAACTTAGTCCATAACCACCAGTCATTTAATAACTGTTTAAATGAACATAAGTATGTACCTTACCTTGGGATGCAGTTAATATATCAAAGTGTTGGAGATATTATTCACTATGTATTAGATATGTTAAGGCACTAGATACAAAGTACTACAGCACTAGGCTACGGTACGCGCGAGGTTGTCAAACAACACTGAAACAATTAGCTCGCCGGCAGGCACTGATAACGCATCTCTCACTGATAACAGGTGCGACGTCACACCTCCCTCATTGTTCTCACTCGATGTACAATAACACTAATATGTTATTTATTGACTTCTGCGAAGGTGACACTAACTCTGATTGTATATTATTTCCAGAAACAATATTATCTAGATTGATGATTATTATAGTTACGTACAATCCTGCTGATCAATGGGCACTGAAATAATTTTCCTAACATACTTAATTACTATTCTCTAAAATAATCTAAGACCATGCTTGCTACAATGCTAAGAATATGTGAACAGTGTAACTTAAAGATTTAATTATTTATTCTAAAGGATTAATTATTAGCTCACCCGTAGTAAAGTTGCTACAATCAATTCGATTAAAGAAACACTTTTAAAACATCAAATAAATATAAACAACAGAATGATATTACCGCACAGTGCGATGCTCTGCAATGTTGTGAAGTCATTCGTCGCGGGGAATCTCTATGTATCGTTTTATTTACATATCTGTCTAGCTAGGACTTGTATAGACAAGTTGATATTCTGTCGCTCCTATCAATGACTCTGCATTCCTCAAAGTAGGTATGCTCTAAGCTCAAAAGCGCTTTATTCATAGGTTCAGAAGGCTGGAGCATTATTCATGATCGTCAGTTCAGTGGATTTGTCTTCGTACCCCATACACAAAACAAAGTAGGTAACTACATAGATAGCTTGGTTTTGCAAAATTGAAAAGTTTTAGTAGGGCGGTTCCTTCGAATTTCAACCTATTGCCTTGTCATTTTGATACGTACCTAAGTGTAAACTCTGAATGCATTCTGAGTAATTCAGAATGCCCTATTTTCCTGCGTCTATGTGTACCACGTGTAGCATTGTTTAGTAGACAATGGATCTACTGCGATATGAACAGGAAAACGCTTTAGTATTGTACCCTGAGGGTTCCCCCAGCACCCAGTACGTACCTACTGATGTAGTATTCAGACCTCCTTTAATTAAATATAAGAGTATTTTTTCAATAATACATTAACGCCGTCGTAATTAGTTAGCAGATAGAATAGACTCTCACCTGCCCTACAATATCACGAAGAACAACTAGATAAAGTAATGCAAAAAACCACATCCTTTTGCAAAAAACACATAATGACTTATGTGCACTATGCCAACCCTTTGCGAATAACAAGCGTGACTGTATAAGAACGTTAAACGCCTGCAGAAAAATATACCGCAGCAACTCATTGGCATGCGGTTTGATTGAAAAAATTCTATGTAAGTACATTTAGCTTGTCCATACGTTTTATGGTGGTATTTACAAATAGTATATATTCCATTGCCTACTTGAAACCAATTGCAAAGTGCAATCAAAAAAATGTAAAGTGAAGCTTGACATATTTTTAGAACTGATTCTAGCAAATAGCTTCCTACTTTTAATAGTTATAATTGCATTATTATAGAAAAATTTAATTAACTGGTTAAAATCTTGATATTCTTAGTGACACTCAAGATACTAATAAATTTTTTATTAAAATTGTACATAGAAATTGGCGCTAGATTTTAATGGGTAGGTACGTACGGTTACACTAGAATCAAATGATATTTTCATTTTCAAGTTACCTATAGATACCATTCGAGGTCAAAACACTTGGGTCATGGGGTCTTAGGGCACATTCGGTGTATAAAAAAAAATTGTCCGTAGGCAGCGTAGGCTAATCGACGCCACTCATAACCAGAGGGCTGGCTATTTCTTCGGACAGAAAATAAGCATTGCCAAGTAGCAATGCTGCCGTCTCCTGGGTCCCTAGTGACAGTGATGCAGGTGAATTCTTTGACGCCTAACTAATGGTATTTTTTTAGATATTAGCATTTAAAATTCGTACCAAATCTCTAGTTTGAAATTAATCTAGTTACAATAATAAAATTGAAAAGAAACTCACCGTTCTTGTCAACAAGGACGAATGGCAGACATTAACTACCCACAAAACTACCAAACTGTACAGGAGAGCCACCATGGTGAACAGGTGAACCAATGGATTTAGTCAATAGTCAACTAATGTCCAACATGAGTTGTTGCAGTATTTATACCATACCCGCTATGTACCCACTGAGTTACCTACGCGAAGTCAATCACTTATCAATAACATAAGTAAACACATGAAACTACCGATCAATCTGTCGGTCTGTTTGTAAACCGAAATTACAAGTAATTTTCGAGAACACCAAGTTTACTAAATAATTTATTATAATGGTATAATAATAATGCTAAGTATACGATTTGGATATGTTGGTAATTTCAGGAATCATCCCTGACTGCCCCCGATCTTGTATTTTAAGGTCAACGTGCAAGTTAAAAGAGACTACGGACCTCTGAGTTTGTTTCGGCATTTCCTCTCAGAGTAGTTAGTTAGGAAATGTCGACCTCATCGTTCGCTTGATAAAATTGACGTGTAAAAGTGCTGTCTTGTAGTATTTGCAGAAATAAATTCACTTAGGTAACTGTTAAGTACGTCTACTTATTTTAAAATGGTAAGAAAAGAAACACAGTGTTGACGTTTCAATTTAAGCAATGAAAAACTGTTTGTTAGAGGTACTAATTTGTAAGAAAAAAAATATATTTTTTTTATGGAATAGGAAGCAGACGGATCACCTGATAGTAAGCGATCAGCGCCGCCCATGGATACCCAGAGAAAACAGGTGCGTTGCCGGCTTTTAAAGAGGAATACGCTCTTTTCTTGAAGGTTTACCGACTGCTACCATTAAACAGGCAACACACAGGTCATCTTCTTTCCGAACTCGCACCAAGGTAAAAACTTGTTTCGAAAAATCTAAATTCCTACAAACACAGGCGGATATGAAGAACAAAACTAGTTTTATATTAAAATTCATACATTTTGAGAATTTTTGTGAACTACACATCATTGGGGAGTTCCCCCGAAGCAGTAGTTCTACGTATTAGAAACTACTCGACCAATTGTCCCCTGCTTTATCCCCTTCCTGTTTATAGGTAGGTACCTAAGTAGATGCTTGAGGTGCCTAATTACATAGGTAGTACTTAAGTGAGAGAACGGCTTTGTTTATTAAGAAATTAAAGAATTGTGTTCTCAGAAGACCACAAAGAGGCCTGTTTGGTTATGAAAACAATATGCGTTTTATTTTAGTAAATAGGTAGGTACAACAACCGGTAGAGGAAACATTTGAAAAATAACTGGTAATCAGACAAAGAGCATAAGCTTTGGTATAGTTTTATTCTAAATACGTCATGCCGTTTAAAAACGTAATCTTAGTACATACATACATATATAACCTCACGCCTCTCTCCCGTGGGGGTAGGTAGAGCTAGAGACTATCGAACGCCAATTGCTACGAATCTTACATACCTCTTTCGCTTCATCAACAGCCACCAGTCTTTTCATGCATGTATGTCGGTTAAGGGTACTTTTGGCCCTTCTTTAACCCTTTGAGTAACGTCATTATAGATACAATTAAATAACAATAGGTTGCGGTCACCGGTGTCCTCGCGGTGTTTGACAGTTTAATAGGTATATCGCCAATCTGGGAGCTTACGCTTGAATACAATTCCGATCGATCGACGTTGGTATTGTGAAATTTCGTACTCTTGAGTTGCATTGCAACACTAGCGCTAACTCGCGCTTGCATCCGTATTGCGCGCATATTGAATGAATTAAATGGTATTCCGTACTGTGATGCTATTTTAACAGTTACGGAGGTTGTATAGTGTTGACATTAAATCATTCTTGAGATTTTATTGGATTGAAATTGCATTGACAGTGAGATTGGTTTCAAGAGTGCACCCTGATGGTGGGGAAAACCATCGAATGGCTGCTCCCGCCTGGGTGAGGCGGGAGGGAGTGTCAGACTCTTACTGATTAAAAACCACCCCGTTCCTTCTCCAGCACGTCGAGCCGGAGCCTCGGTTACCCGTTAGGTTCTCCGCGACGTAGATTAAGGTCTGGAATACACGTAGGCTACTTTTTATTCTATGGGAACGAGGGTGAAGCCGCTCTCAGAAGCTAGTTTGTAATGTATATTTTTTTAAGTTTTGTCCCACACTGATTTACTCCTATGTCGTGGGTGCGTTTACAAACATACAAGTTCACATACATGACACCCAGACACGGAACAACAATTTGAGGATCACACAAATAGGTGCTTCGTGCGGGAATCGAACCCGCAACACGTTGCGTGTCAGCTCAGCCGGCTGCACTCTATATTGTACTATATTAACTGCTGTAGATCGGCATTGTAATGATAACTCGATGTCGTCAGATCCGCACGCATAGAACAAAACAAAACATGCAACAACACACTAGTCAGAGTCAAAATCTGCACAACTATAGGTATAGCACAGTGTCATTCTGTAGGTATAGCTAGCTGTCGCCACATTTATGTGCATATATTGCACTGATATATTCTACTATTGCACCGTCATAATTTGTTACGCCCGGAAATTAAACCTACACTCGCGATGACTCCTAAGGAACGCAAATGCACTCTTATAATCTGATAGTGATACATACAATGCCAATTTAATTTTAAACCATCATTTTTCCAACTTTTCAACTGTACCTACCTAAACCATTTTGATCGCTGAACCGAAATTACCTAAACCTGGAATCGTCCCCGAGACTTCGTTATCAGCACCCGGCCGGCAGTCGCACTTGAAACCACAATACGTGACCTCTCCCTATCAGTAGATCCACTACGCGATAAAAAGTCAACTAGCATTTACAGAACTTTGATGATACCTAACACAAAAAGAAAAAGTCTGATCGAACAATGAAACAAAGAGACACCCACAATATTACTTAATACGCAATTGATTAATTATAATAAAAGAACACTTACGAACTGTTTGTTTATTACTGGTCACTACACTATAACAACTGTCTGACACTACACAGCATCACAATATGGACACATCCACCCGCTGGTCGCACAGTCTCTCAGTAAACAACTTGCATCACAGACTCGCTCTCACTTATATCGCTACAGAACGTCTTGCAAACTTGTCAAATTTCTTACATTCTACGCTCAGCCACACCAATAAAGACCTTAACATCTACTGATAAAGACTAAAAACACTTGTCACTCACTCTTTAGTACAGTCACTGATTTCACGTGTTGAAATTAAAATGTTATTTTATTTTTGTAAACAAATGAATGAGTAATACACTAAAAAACAAGTGACGATGTGAAATACGTTTTTTGAATTCACAAGTACGTCACAGGCGTGATTACTACACAGTTTTAGTTTTAGCTGTTTGGAATTATAGGGGGTTATAAACACTACTTAAGTGATGTTACGCAATATTTAAGTATTGTTGAGTGTCATTAGATTGCTTCTTCAATATTTTACCTAATAAATGTCTCTATCTACTTAACACCTATACTCATACTTTTATGGTCTATCTCCTTTACTACGGTAAATATACCTCATGTCATCTTAGTTACATCATCACCACCTCTTGTCACAATTCTAAAGAAGCTTTGGTTTGGTAGGTCTGTAAAAGTTTTCATTTTGATTGTACTAAACTAGTGAGTAGGTACCTATTATTTCAATGGAAAGTGGGCGTATCCATTTTTCTCTTTCTGTTATAGTTTTAATCACGGCAACAAGAAAGAGATAATAGTATTTTCAGACTATCATAGAACTAAATTTTACCTAGATATAAACGTAACAACTAAAGATAATAGTGCGAAAGAGACAAAGGAATGACTTTGATTTAATTTTTTATTTTAGTCCTTTGTTTTTGGTCGGGGGTGCAACAATTGATTTTCGAAATGTCTGTGGTCGGGTGACTCCCTGTTCGTTTGTTTGTGACGTTGCCCCACGGTGGGCGATACGCCGGTTACCTGCCGATGTTGGAACTAGTAGGTAGGTACTTATTAAGGCACCTGCGTAAATACAAGTCTCATGCAATTGGATTGTTCTTTTACACATAAAGTAGTACCTATTTACTATTGTTACCTATTTTATTCGAGATATCAGTACAGCTATATTATCCTAAGTAAAACCTATATTGAAATGATGACGAAACAAAATGCTAATTTCTGAGTATCAGAGACTATTTTACTTGACATCATGTATCAACAAATAAACGATGACACGGTGATCATTGAATCATTGCACTGATTCAAATGACGTCACACCTTTTGAACATTGTTCTACGTAGATATGACGTATCAAGTACTCGTTCTCTTATTTTAGGTATTGGAATAACCAATAACGTTTGTCATTTATAAATAGGTATTATTTGACTATGTTATTATTATTTCCATATACCTATTTATTTAAAATTCTCTATAAATTACATTTTTAAATACTACTTAACAAAAACACAAAAGACCTATTGAAAAATATAAAAATAGGATCCGACCAGTAGTGGAGCATGGTCCAAGCTACCGGTGGTTAGGGCTCCAGAGACAGAAACCTCCTCACGATACGTGCCGTTTCTAGGAAAACTGCCTTCTGTATCAGACCCTTGATCCATCCACCTAACGCCAGCCTCCTACGATGGATCGAGGCTTTTAGGGGTTAACCCTAAAATTATTATTATTGTACATTCAATTTTATATTTTGTCTCAAAACATGGAATGTTTATTATTTATTTGTAGTGGTTAAAAGCATGATTGTAAAATTAAAGAAAAACAAAAATATTTTCAAATAATTTATTTTATTTACAAAATACTTATGACACTTATTTACATTCTGGATTCACTGGAAATTTTTGCAGTAACCTATATTATTTATTTCAGTGCTGTAAAATTTTAAAAATAATAAGGTATCGTAGGCAATTAACGCCCGCTTAATTTCAAACCAATATAATATTTAATGAAACAATTTAATTAAAAAACCGTTTAGAGAAATAGTTTTATTGTGAAGAAATAAACATAGAAAACTAACACTCAAGTGCTATAAGTCGTATAAAATTATGCAAACAAAGAATTCTTGAATACCCTGTCATGGGCGATATTGAACATACAGTTTTTA